ACGGCTGGCCTAAGGCTCGCCACACGTTCAGGCACACCAAGCCCGGATCCACGCCGACAGTTACCCAGGTTGAAGCCGGTGCACAGCCGGCCGCCGTCCTTGAAGTTCTGCGATGTCTTGTGACGGCCAATATAAGGCGGCATGGGGGAGCCAGGTGCGGGCACTTCCGCAGCAGCCAGGGGTAGCACCGGGCCGGCCAAAGACCTTCGCGCAAGAGGGGCAGCCAACCTCATGGTAAACTTCTTGGGCTTGTGCGCGGCGAAGGCGGGTCCCTGCCAAAGGAGCTCCCTGTCAGCCCTGACCTGTGTTTCGCAGAGGGGCTGGGCCATAGTCGTGTGCTCCGCGACGTCCTGCGGGGTCACCGCATCCCACGTCGGATAGGGGCGCAACTCCCCCATATAGGCCCACACCAGGTGCTTGACCCGGACGCTCTCCTTGTAGCGCAACCCACTGTAGTGGACGGGCATGGCACTCCTCTGGTCCGAAACGCGATCTTGCCAGTCCCCAAGGGCGTTCGACTCGCCCGGCGAGAGCTGCGCCAGCATAGCCACAGAGGGGCCCAACCGGCGCCAGCTATAGGAGGTCAGCTCCTCCGGATTGGCCACCACATCCGTGAAAGCCGCCTGCACAGCCAGGGTAAACTCCCTGAGGGACCACGAGAAGCCCCGAGCATCGAAGCACAGCCCGCACTGGCTCCGCCTGCCTTTGGGCAGGGCCTCGAAGGCTTCTTTCCAGGGCTCGGTCCAGTTCCTAGAGGACGAAATGTCTCTTATAATTCCCCGAAAGGTAACTAGTGAAAATGTGCGGCGCTGAATGTTTCTTGATTTCCTCTAGTACGACCTAACATAATTATGAGGATTTGAAATGCACTTTATTTTCCCTATTGACAAGTCACGGATTGTGACAGAACGAAATGTCTGTTATTTTCCATCATGATACGGTATGATATATATATATATATATACATATATACATTTATATTTATATTTATATTTATATTTATATTTATATTTATATTGTGAAAGAACGAAATGTCTGTTATTTTCCATCATGATATGATATATATATATATATATATATTTACATATATATATATATATATATATATATATATTGTGAAAGAACGAAATATCTGTTATTTTCCATCATGATATATATATATATAGGTAATAGTATACATATTTGGCATGACTTGACTTGCTTTGGCATGGCATGACTTGCTTGCTGCTGCTACTACTACTACTACTACTACTACTACTACTACTACTACTACTATGCTACTTCTACTACTACTACTACTACTAATAACTACTACTAGTATTATTACCCAGTACTACTACTACTACTACTCTACTACTACTACTACGACTACTACTACCTACTACTACTACTACTACTACTACTACTACTACTACTACTTACTACTACTAACTACTACTACTACTCTATACTACTAGCTACGGATCGATAACTGTCGTGCGTTTTCCTGCATTTCTGAGGATTCAGACTTCCTTCGGGAAAGGGGGTGGGTGTGGGTGGGGGGGGGGGGGGTTAAGAACGTCCCTGCTGCGTGGGCGTGGGCCAAACTTTTTCCGCCGCCTCTCCGCAGTTGTGCTGGCTCCATGTGGGAGTGAGTCAGCCATGTCTCCGTGGTTGGCAGTGAGCCTTTCGGCTTTGCTGGTTCTCCGCCTCGGAGGCATCCGCCTGCCGCCGGAGCTCGGCACCTTCGTCAGCTTCGCTTACAGCGATGTCGAAGACGCCCTTTGGGCGACTCGGACTTAAGCTTCGCGACTGCTTTGTGACGAAGTCACTTTTTCTTGCAGAAGTTCGGTCCTGGATGCGAAACCCTGCCTCAGGTGATGTGCCAGCTTCCAGGCCAGGCAGAAGTTGCCACGCTGGCCATCATGTTGCAGGAGTCTCGTGCAGGAGACAGCCACGTGCCGCATGTTGTTTGAAGTTCTTTCTTTTGTTGGGCGACTTAAGATTCTTCGAACTGTCTGCGCAGTAGTAGGAAGAATGCCGTGGGAGCAGCTGGTTGCGTTTGGGCCTTCTCTTGCTTCGCTGGCAATGCGACTTCTGACGGCTCCTCTTTGTCCCGCTTCCTGCTTGGATGCGGCGAGGCGGTACAACCTCTGGGTGGCTCGACGCTTCGGAGACCCTGCACAGTGGACACGGCCAACAGCAGAATCTGACTGGTACCTCTGCTTTGGTTGCCTGCGTGGCGTCGTGGGCGCTTCGGCTTCGGTGGAGGACTTTGAGACTCCCCAGCACGTCTCCGCTTCGCCGGAGGACTTTGAGCCCCCCCACCACGTCTCTGCTTCGCCGGAGGACCTTGCGACTCCCGAGCACGGCCCCGCACAGGTGGACATATTTGGTGATGAGCTGGATTTCGATGCCCTGGCAACCGACTATGCCTCTTGGTTGTCGGTTGTCCTCCCTGTTTTTCCCTAAGCCCGAAACCTTAAACCCCTCACTCCCAAAGCCCTAAACCCCTCAACCCTAAACTTAACTCTGTGTGTGCGTGTGTGTTCTGAGGAATGTTCAGACGGAGAGTCTGCTTCCATGCCGGGCTCCACAAGCGACGTGGATGTGGCATCAGACGGAGAGTCTGCCTCGATGGCTGGCTCCGCAAGCGATATGGATGTGGCACCCGCCCGACGCGAGGAGCTGGATTCGCCGGGGTTCCCGCTGCCGGCCTCCGCAAGCCATGTGCCACCCGGCCCTTCGGAGAAGGCGCAGTCCACGGACACACGTAGCATCGACTTCCTTGCAGAGGCCAGACCCCAAACTGGCAACCGTCTTCTGGTTCCCTAAACCGTAAACCTTATAAACCCTAAACCCCACACGCTTCCCAGGACCCCATCGAGGACTTCGATGCTGCTCCTACCGCAGATCGCGTCGAAGCTGTGCAAGCCGAACAGCCTCAGCAGCAAGTTCCACCGCCTCCGCATCAGAAGTTTGCGAGAGCAACGAAATGGGGCCGCTGCCCGCGCTGCCAGTATGCGTTGTGCCCTTACATCATGCGATCCGGCCAGTGGCTTGATTGCGATACGGTCTCTTTGCGTTTATGTCTTCAAGCTCGCTTTCTTGCTGCTTTTGCTGCAGGTGGAAGACCCCACGTCCTGTAATCGAGCCTGATCCTGCTCACGTTGCTTTCGTTTCGCTAGAGCCAAGCAAGGTTCAAGGATGACGTGCGCTTGGTCTGCTCGTCGTTTTGGAGGTTTGTGCACGGTCGAAGACAATGTTGGTTCCACATGGCCTTTCCGCTTGACAGGATTCGCGATGCCAGCAAAGACTTGCAAGACTACATGTCTGACGTCCGTTTCCACCTTCTGCGGTCCAGCAGAGGAGGCTAGTGTCACTTCGCCTTGGCAGGCGAGCAGAAAACAACAGATTGCTTTCATGTCTGCTCTGCTGTCACCCTTGGTGCACCTGGACAGTCCCGTATGGCCCTTACTCCCTTGTAGCCCTTATTCCCTTGAAGACTTTACTCCGTAGCCCTTACTCCCTCGTAGGCCTCAGTCCCTTGTAGCCCTTCTTCCCTTACCTCTCGTGTAATCCCTAGTCCCTTGTAGCCCTTACTCTATTTTAGCACTCCTTGTAGCCCTTATTCCCTTGTAGCCTTTACTCCGTAGCCCTTATTCCCTCGTAGGCCTCAGTCCCTTGTAGCCCTTATTCCCTTGTAGCCCTTCGTCGCTTGTAACCCTTGGTCCCTTGTATCCCTTACGCCCTTGTAGCCCTTATACCCTTCCAGAATATCCCTTGTAGCTCTTGCTGCTTGCTGCTCTGCTGGCTGAAGCATGTCACCGAACCGGAGCATCCATAGTCCTAGCACGTACGCCGGGCGTGTTGCATGGACACTTCGAGAACGGCTGTCTTGCATCTCTGTCGTCGCTTTCGGAGCGGCGTCCAGGATGAAGTGTTCTCTGCTCTCCTGCAAGGACCTGTCCAGGTTCTCTTGCAGGCGGGGTTTTAGCTTGGTTTTGCTTTTGTTCAGGCTTTGTTGTGTTGTAGGTCTTAGGGTTTGTGCTTGCGCCGCTGCTCCATACGCCAGGCATGCCTGCAGTTGTACGGGCTCATGAGATTCTGCTCCACCGACGACGTAGAGGTGGTCGTGCTTGCGGGTGAAGTTCTTGGAAACCTCCTGTCTCTGGACTTTTCTCGGCCACTTCTCACCGACGCCGACGTGACGACACTTTTGTGGCCTGCATGTCATCATCATGGAGTGCCGACGAGTTTCCTCTACAAGGTGGAGCAAGCGTACCCCGTCGAAGCTGCCTTGGCCGAGGCATGTTGTATCCGCAACGTTGGGGCTTTCTGCTTCTGTCGGGTTTAGGATAGTTCTTTTGAGGGTTCCCTGGATTTCCGCGTGTAGGTCTCCGCGCTCAGTCGAGTGCTCTGGCGTGCGGCAGAAACACTGAGTAGCGAGTCTTTCCCTCCCCTGCTAGCGCAAGCCTGCCTGTCTCAACTTTTCGAGCCTCTGCGCGCTCTGTATACGGATTACGCGCTTATGGCGGACGGCTGGGTGAGCCGACATTGGCGACTTGTAGAAAACTCCCCACCTGTAGCTCAGGAGTAGCGCAACAAGCAGCTCTGGACTTTGCGCTGCCCATGGTCTTGAACAAACTCGGTCTGCCGAAGCTCTGTTTCTGACGATGATGCTGGTGACGCTCATGAAGATGCTGCTGCTCATGCTGCTGCTACTACTGACGATGATGCTGCTGCTCCTCTCAAGATGATGATGATGATGGACAAAATCCTGCATGACCTTGAGGACTTTCAACTATGGGAATTATGGTCTCTTCCTTATAGTGATTCTAGTGGGTAATGCAGGATTTTGTCCATCAGCCGTAATGATGATGACGATGATGATTCTCATGATGATGCTGCTGACCAGCACTGCATGCTTCGGCCTTGCAGGAGCAGCTTCTTGCATCTTCGTTGTCACATGCAGTTTTGAGTGGCTGGAGCCTTGTTGGCGGACTAGCCGCTTAGATGCCATGCCTGCTGTCAAGCGCAAACGCTCCGTAGACCATAGCTCTAGTTCTAGCCACAAGTGTGGGCACTGTGGCAAGACTGGGCATCATCGGACGAGTTGCCCGACTCTGGCCGCTGCATTGCTCAGGGCAGCAGTGCAGTACACGAACCCTCGAAAGCTCGAGGATCACCTCGCTCAAGAGAAGCCTCTGCGCTTGAACGTAGACAAGAAGCAGCAGAAGTCTCTCAAGAGATCCTCGGGACGTCGTTTCAGTGCACAGTGGCCCCGGAAAGACGACTCCAGGTCCAAGGTGTCCTCGAAGTTGCGTAAAGTTCAAGCTCGGCTCCGGGAGCTGCGCCGCAAACCCAGGGCGACCAAGAGGATCAGTCTTTAAGACTAGTCAAAAATTGAGTTTTCCTCTAACTTCTCCGACTTAAAAGCCCATAACTCCTAACCCCTACACCCTGAAATCCTATAACCCTAAACCTTATAAACCCTAAAAGCCTGCATGCTTATCCCTAAAGCCTCAAGCCCTACACCCTATGACCCTGAACCCTGAAGCCGGAGGAGCACTCCCAAGTTCACGTGCAAGGACGTCAGAGCGGCGCTTCAAGCCTTGAGGAAAGCCAAGTGGTTGTGGAAGCCTGGTCGCTGCAGCTGTGGCGAGCACTTGCAGCAAGTTCCGTTCAAAGCTAGTCTCAAGCGTGGCAACGGGCGGGCCTACTTGAGATGCCCACAATGCCATAAGTGGTTCGACTCCTTGGCCTTCAGCTTCTTGCCTGTGCTGCGAATGCCCTTGCCAACCGTGTACAAGGCCATGCAGATCTACTTCCAGCAGGGGCGCGTGCTCAGTGTGGACGAGATCGGAAGGCTCCTCGGATGCAGTGGCTCCCCCGCTTCCGCCTTGAAGAAGCTAGTGAAAGCTCTTCGGGCTGCGGAGTGCCGTTGCATGGATCACAAGCAGCAGCTTCGGCAGGTCACAGGCCGGATCATTCTCAGTTCAGGTTTTTTTAAAAACTTCTGCATCCTGTTCCCACAAGCTCAAGCCCTGTCACACTCTGCTATTTCTCAGCAGGTGATGTGGAGGCAGATGGTACTTCCATACGCCACTGGCGAAGCTTGCAGCGACCATCGCGCAATGTCTACTTGCAGTACTTCGCGCTCTACCAGCGGCCGACACGCGCATGCAGCGACCGGGTCGTGAACCTCTATCAGCTTCCTTTGGTGGAATCCCGTTGCGGAGGCAAGCCGCCACCCGAATCCTTTGATCGATGCCATCCGTGTGTCCAAGCAGGGCTCGGCACCAAAGACAAGAGAGGCAGGAAGACACTCCTCATCAGTGACGGCGCCAAGTGTTACCCAAGGCCCCGGGAAAGGCTTTAGGTTTGACCTTTTGGTTTTCACTCTTAGCTGCTAGCTTCCACTCTTGAATATGTTCTTCTCACTCAAAAGCCCTGCCGCACAGGCTGGCCAAATCTCGGGGTGTTCTGTTGAGGCAGTGCAACCACTCCGGGGGAGTTTTTTGCGTGAAGAAGCAGGTGCCCGGACGAAGCTTGATCCCCATTCACACGGGGTCCGTAGATTCCTTCTGGAACATTTTGAAGAAAGGCATTCCAAGCACCTTGCGCACTCACTCCAAAGGAGTGCCGAATCCCCTTCTCTGGAAGTACGCGCGCAGTGTACAGTGGCGATGGGAGTGCGACGCCGATTTGTTTTGGGCCACAGGGCAGTACTTGTCCAGGTTGTCCAGCCTCTGAAGACGATCCGATGCACTTTTCGCGGAAAAGAACACCTATCCTCTGCAATGAATACGAATTGCCCATGTTTCCACACTGATTCCAATCCATCGTGTCTTCTGCTCAACTCCGATCAATCTCTCAAATCTCACGAAGTTGATCCGATGCAATTCCCTGCGATAGGCACATCTCACGAAGATGATCCGATGCACTTTTCGCGGAAAAGAACACCTATCCTCTGCAATGAATACGAAATGCCCATGTTTTCGCACTGATTCCAATCTATCGTGTCTTCTGCTCAACTCCGATCAATCTCTCAAATCTCACGAAGTTGATCCGATGCAATTCCCTGCGATAGGCACATCTCACGAAGATGATCCGATGCACTTTTCGCGGAAAAGAACACCTATCCTCTGCAATGAATACGAAATGCCCATGTTTTCGCACTGATTCCAATCTATCGTGTCTTCTGCTCAACTCCGATCAATCTCTCAAATCTCACGAAGTTGATCCGATGCAATTCCCTGCGATAGGCACATCTCACGAAGATGATCCGATGCACTTTCGCGAAGGGTTGAACAATTCATTGCTTTCTCATCGCTTGCTGATCTTCGAAGCCATGTACAAGAAAAAGCACAAACTTTGGTGTAAACGGCAAAATCGCATTTTTCACTGTTGACATCACGAAAACATCGTTGTGCGCGGTGTTTTCGGCCTTTCAACCACGCGAAAACGAAGACCCAAAAAAGTAACACGCCGAATCTCCTAAAGTGCCACGCCTGCCATGGTTTTCACAAAACTAGATCTGAAAACAGCATTTTTTTTTGGACCTCATTTTCGGTCTTAAACTGCGCTCCCGCTGTGGCGAAACGCATATTTGCACAAAAAACGCGCGACGGATTCCGACACGTGCGGTACTACTACTACCACTACTACTACTTCTACTACTACTACTACTACTACTACTACTACTACTACTACTACTACTACTACTACTACTACTATGTATTTTTGACATGGTTTGACTTGCTTGGCATGGCGTGAAGTGATTGGCATGGCTTGAATTGAGTGGCATGGCTTGAAATTTGTTAGCAAGTTTGTTCGTGTGTGACAGGCAATGGATAGATGCTTTGCACGGTTTCACGCTGGGCGCAAGCTGTGCTGGGCAGAGCCATGTCCCAGCTCGAGGCAGGCTCACTCCGTATATGGCGACGATCGCGATTTTAGGGTTATTAGGGTTTAGGGGTTTAGGGTTTATATGTAGGGTTTATAATTTCATATCAAGTTATATAGTAAGGGCTCATACAATATAGAGAGGATAATGGACAGTCCAATTAGGGTTTAGGGGTTTAGGGTTTATATGTAGGGTTTACAATTTCATACCAAGTTATATAGTAAGGGCTCGTACAATATAGAGAGGATATAATGGACAGTCCAATATATTCTGGCGCAATACTCAGATAAGTGGGCTACACAGCCGATTGTAAGGGAAAATGAAGAGCGTATGGTGCATTTCCGCGCATTACTCAGAATTACTCAGAAAGGGCGATTTGTATGAATTTACCGGGTGTTTGTATGAATTTACCGGGCGTTTGTAGGAATTTACCGTGCGTTTGTAGGAATTTACCGTGCATTTGTATTGGGGCGGGTTCGGGGAATTTGCGGTGCGTATTGCGGGGAATGCGGGGGGGCTAAAAAGAGCCATCTACGGCATAGGGTCAGGCCCCCTGCACCACCAATTGATCACCACCAATTGATCAGCTTGATGATATCACTTGGGATCGAAAGCAAACAAGCCAAGCCATGCCATGCCATGCCTCGTCATGCTTTAAGTATGTACATACCTACATAGTAGCAATAAGTAAAAATCTGTATAATACAGAAGACCTATATGATAGAGTGGATATAGTACATGAGTATATAATCAATTTGGGCTTTGTTGATGCCTTAATTAAGAACGGCCGCCCAGGTCGAAGCCGGGATGGTCTTGCTTCAGATCATGTTGTGAATGCCATCATGTTTGGATGTTGCCATGCTTGTTTGCTTTCGAACCCAGGTGGTATCATCAAGCTGACCAATCGGTGGTGCAGGGGGCCTGACCCTAGATGCCGTAGATGGCTCTTTTTAGCCCACCCAGCATTCCCCGCAATACGCACCCTAAATTCCCCGAACCCGCCCCCATACAAATGACCGGTAAATTCATACAAATGACCGGTAAATTCCTACAAATGACCGGTAAATTCATACAAATCGCCCTTTCTGAGTAATTCTGAGTAATGCGCGGAAATGCACCATACGCTCTTCATTTTCCCTTACAATCGGCTGTGTAGCCCACTTATCTGAGTATTGCGCCAGAATATATTGGACTGTCCATTATATCCTCTCTATATTGTATGAGCCCTTACTATATAACTTGATATGAAATTGTAAACCCTACATATAAACCCTAAACCCCCAAAATCTACTCTGCCTCGTGTACAAAAGCCACGTGCTGCTTGCTTCTAGCATGTCATGCATGCACCATGTGTTGAGCTTGGCATGTCTTGCTGTTGCTGTTGTTGTAGGTTTTTGGCTGCAGGCTTTAAGTAGCTAGGTAGCCCATCATGATGGAGAAAAAAATCACAGCCTTAATGAAGACAGCAAAGCTGTCCTATGAGGAGGCTAAGTTTTGCCTTACCTCCGATTCGCCAAAAAAGGAGCCTCTAGACACCAATTGTGCATAGCTGCATGCACATTCTGAGCTCATCGGCATATTGCCACCTAGGCCGAAGCTGTGGAAAGGTGCTTCGAAGCTGACACCTCCTAGGAGGATCCGAGAAAAGTCAGCCCCTCGATCGGCATCCTTGGGCGGCTCGGGGATCTGTAGATCGTGACGGTGCATGGGTATACGAAGGGCATGTTCATGAGAATCAAAAGAAGAACAGGAAGCAAAAGCAACCCAAAGAGGAAGAGCATGCAGTGCCAGCAACAAGCAACAAAAAGAGCAAGAAGAAGGAGAAGAAGGAAGCAAAGGAAAGCAAGGCTGCAAAGGTTCCCATGGATGAAATGGACACCCAGGAGTGGGATGCTGAGGATATGGGGCCACACCATTTTGCAAAGAAGTCTCGTCAATTGCAAGACGGCATTGGATGAGCTTGCTGAAAATGTTGCTGCAAGAATATTGCCTGCATGCATTTGCAAGTGCATCGCAACAGCTGCTGTGCCATGCCATGTTTTGATTTGTGTTGCACATGCTGTCATGCCATGCATTGCAATTAGTACTAGAATTAGAATTAAAACTATAATATTCGTAACACTAGTAGTAGTAGTAGTAGTAGTAGTAGTAGTATTAGTAGTGGTAGTAGTAGTAGTAGTAGCAGTAGTAGTAGTAGTAGCAGCAAACAAGTCATGCTATACCAAAAGCAAGTCAAGTCATGCCAAGTATTTTAGTAGTAGGACATAGTAGTAGTAGTAGTAGTAGTAGTAGTAGTAGTAGTAGGATTAGGGTTAGGATTAGGGTTAGGATTAGGGTTAGGGTTAGTGTGGGATAGGGATCAGGATCTTGGGATTGGGATTAGTATCAGTAACTTAAGTAAGCAAGCAAGCCATTCCATGCCGTGCCAAAGCATGCAAGTCGATTCATGCCTAATTTGTCGATCTTAGCATAAGAGACGAAGTGAAAATAAGCGACGCTGGTAAGTAGTTGAAGTTTAACTCTACATAATAAGGTTTGTTTCACATCATGCATGCCAAGACTATATTCGCAGTCAAGCCATGCCAAAGCAACTCAAGCCATGCCATTCAAGTCAAGCCATGTCAAAAATACATAGTAGTATAGTAGTAATAGTAGTAGTAGTAGTAGTAGTAGTAGTAGTAGTAGTAGTAGTAGTAGTAGTAGTAGTAGTAGTAGTAGTAGTAGTAGTAGTAGTAGTAGTAGTAGTAGTAGTAGTAGTAGTAGTAGTAGTAGTAGTAGTAGTAGTAGAAGTAGTAGTAGTAGTAGTAGTAGTAGTAGTAGTAGTAGTAGTAGTAGTAGTAGTAGTAGTAGTAGTAGTAGTAGTAGTAGTAGCAGTAGTAGTAGTAGTAGTAGTAGTAGTAGTAGTAGTAGTAGTAGTAGTAGTAGTAAGCCAAATACAAATCAAGTCATGCATGGTATATATTCTTACCACAAGAGACCAAGTGAAAATAAGCGACGCCGATAACTAGTTGAAGGCTAACAAACGAGCCAATATGAATTTGAACGACGCTGCACTTGAATGTTTCTTATATTCCTCAATATGATCGATATATTCCTCAATTGTCTCTTAAAAACCGAACCAATATGAATTTAGCTGTCTTTTTGACCACCGGGATCTTTTTAGAGTGCGTTTCGTCCTCTAGGTTCCATCCAGAAGCAAAAGCGGCCGGGATGGCAAAGTAAAAACCCTGCCGCAGGCGGCGCTGCTTGCCCTTATTGCAGAAAGCATGCACGGTCGACCCCGTGATGCGCAGGACCTCGCTCCTGCGAAGGTGGGCATGCAGCTGGAGGCCTGCATCCATTGCCCCAGCATCGCAGTCCACCGAGGGTCGCCCAAAATGCACCGCTCCTCGATAACCTTCTCCAGGTGAACCAGCGTCGGCGGCTCGGCCAATGTGGCCTGCCGCTCGTCCTTGGGCTTCCGGCGCTGCTCGGTCCGGGGTGCGTCCGGAATCTTCCAGGTGAGCTCCGCCTGCTTGGCAGCCCACCGCAAGCCCGCCACGGCCCGATGAGGCGCGGCCGAGTTGAATATGAAGGCATCCAGGTCCAGGGTGTCCACTTCTTCAAGCCCGTCTCTGCCCCGGGCAACCTGGAAATGCTGAAGCTCGCGGAGAGAGACCACGGCCTTCTTGATCGTGGCCACTTCCGCTTCGCTGCACACTTTGGCAGCACGGCGCCGCACAAAGTTTTCCCACTCAGCTTGGCGCCCCGCGTTGAGCTCACCGCTCGGGCGCTGAACGTTGGCATCTACCCAAAGGTCGGCAAGTTCCTCGACCAATGGTGTCTCCAAGGCAGCGCGCTCCACAGGCGGACGGGCTTGCAGCGGTGCCTTGGGCACGGCTGCCCGCCGCCGCGGTAAAGGCGGGCGAGGCTTAGTGGAGGGCTTGGCCGCCGCCGCTCCAGCCTGGGCTGCCTCATGTGCAAAAGCCAGAGCCTTGCCCTCGTCCACTCGCTCGCGGACTTCGCGCCATTTGGCCGCGATCTCTGCTCCAGCTTGCCTCTGCGCCTCTTCCGCCGACATGAATACGTAGGCGAACTCCTCGTCATCGGCCAGACCAAAGGCGCGGCGCCAGGCATCAACTCGGACCTCTACCGGGGTACCCTCCCCGAAAAGGCCGGAGGACGGGCCGGGCTGGCTGTCACCATCCCCTGCCGCCTCGAGCGACTGCTGCGCGTACACACCGGCCATCGCAGCTGCTAGCAAAGGCCTGAGCCAGAAGGCGCCGTGGAAGCTGATCGCGAAGGCCGGGCAACAGCAGAGGCAGAGCAGGAGAAGGACTCAAGACCGGGCGGGTCGCCACCGCCGGACAAAAAGCCAGGTCCCCTCCTGACTGCAGCCCCTTATAGGCTGCCTGCGGTCGACTCCGCAACCGCTGGCTCCCGCCAGAAAGAAGAAAGGGAACGCCCCTTCCGAGACTGTCCGCCATCACGCGCACCCAAGGCAGCGTCCCAGGCAGTCCCCACAAGCTGCTGAGTCACATCGCCGGCAGCGGAATGCTGTCGGAGCGCCGCAGCTGCGACAGGCCGCGGACAAAAGGCCCGGTCCATAAGCCACGGCCCCAAGCCATAACCACAACGTCCTGTGGGCCCTGTCTCTGGCATCTGCCCGGCCAGCCTCCCAGGATGGAACTCCCCGCCCGGGTTCAAGCCAGACGCGGCTGCCGGCCTGCCACTGTCGGAATACCAGCCACAGCTCGCCCGAAGAAGCCGACTGATCCGCCACCCGCCGGAAAAGCGCGTAGAGGTGGTTCGGCAGCAAATCTGTTGGCCAAAGCCCAGAATGAAGGGCCGTGACGTCGCCAGCCGACAGATAGGAGCGACATGCATGGTAATCACTCCACGCTTGAGCCGGGTCACTCCCTGGACGGACGATTGTTGCTGCATGTGTGAATGTACCCACGAACGGCAGCTGGAACCCTCCCCGGCTCTGGGCGCACCGGGCACAGTCCGTGACTACACACGGGATCGTGCGGATAGGTGGCAGACCTGGAGGCAACCCCTCAAGCAGCGGAGGGGGGGGAGGGTAATGCTGGATCTCAAGGGCTGAAGCCCACAGCCTGGCAGCATCCTCGTTCCGACCCTCGGAAACCAAATACCGAAGCTGAGCCCTGATATCCAACATGGCCGCTGGGTGCAACACCTGGGCCTCAGTGTGCACAGCAAAGCGGCTGAACACATATGCAAAGACCTCAGGTGGCTCCTGATCAAACACATTTGCCATAATAAGCGGGACGCCTCCGCAAGCTAATGGCAACAAAATCCTGCCTTTTTGGCTCAACTGCCAAGGCTTGAACCAAAAGGCATGATAACGATCGCAGATGATACATGTGCACCCTAGCCTGCCAAACTCTACACATGGTATAGGAAAGCCGCTTGACAAGCTCGGCCGGCTGCAGCAGAGGTCTGGCCGGAACCAGCAGCGGTCTGGCCGGAACCAGCAGCGGTCTGGCCGGAACCAGCAGCGGTCTGGCCGGAACCAGCAGCGGTCTGGCCGGAACGAGGAGCGGTCTGGCCGGAACCAGGAGCGGTCTGGCCGGAACTGGCCAGGAGCGGTCTGGCCGGAACCAGGAGCGGTCTGGCCGGAACCAGGAGCGGTCTGGGCGGAACCAGGAGTGGTCTGGCCGGAACCAGGAGCGGTCTGGCCGGAACCAGGAGCGGTCTGGCCGGAACCAGGAGCGGTCTGGCAGCGGTCTGGCCGGCAAGATGGTCGCGAAGCCAGGCAACGGCAAGACGAAGTCTTTTCGGCCAGAGCTTGGTCCAGCAATCTGGACGGCGGCAGGGGTGACCAAGCCAATGAGGCGGACAACCCTTTCAAGCGCTTTCAGCATGCGTCTCGTCTGCATGTGCACGAGGGCAAAGAGAAGCTGATGATGTGGCCGCAGAAGCCGCTTCAAATGGCGGAGCAGCCTTGTCTCCTCTGTGACGGCGTCGGCTTCGCGGTGCGGGAAGAACTTCTGGCTCACATCGACGAAATGCATGGAGGGTTGCAGAGATATCGGAACGCCTACCTGCACCTGGAGTCCTTGTGTCCGCACGTCGTTGCAGGCTCCGAAGTGCGACACTATGTGAGCAACTATGCCGAGTTTTTGCGTCGGTCCGCCATGGACTGGGAGGCGTCGGCACTGTCGTGCGCGCGGGAGCGGATCGGATGTGCTTTCTGTGCAAGGTGCTTTTGGCGCGAATCCATGCAACAGTGTTTTTTGAAGGGACCAAAATGTTTTATGGCAGCGGCAGAAACTGTCTGGGAGATGTTGTCCTTGAAACGTTACCACGAGAGATGGCCGCTCATTCCGACGAAGGACGGGTTTGGCAGTGTCTGTCATTCGTGATGTAGGCCAGCACGAGGGTCCGGGGTGGGATTTGCGCGTGTTCATTGCTGCCAGGAGTTAGAAGCTTCGAGTGTCGACGTGGGCACGGCTCGATGTCCTGTTCTTGTCTTGCTGCACAAACGCCGGGTAACGAGTGATATGGCGCGGGGGAATGCTCCTGCGTCTGTATGCGAAGATTGCATGGAGGCTTTCTCAGGGCGGAAGCCTTGGCTTTGCAAATACGCCCTGGCGAACGATCTGTGGTTGGGCCGTCCCGATCCATTACTCTGGAAAGCTAACATGACGCACGAAATGTGTCTGACGTTAGCGAGGACTGTTGCCACGAAAGTAGTGTTGCGCGCTGGGGGCGCTTCTCAAACCGAGAGCAGCAACAGGCCGAGCAACTCGTGGGACTACGTCTTTCAGCAGTCTGGTTTGGTGGGATCTGCGGTTGTTTTCCACAACGGGGATGCCGAGTATGCGTTGGAGAGCTTGCCACCTACCAAGCTCAACGACGCTTTGGCAGTATCCTGTTGCGTTGACCTGAAGCGCGGGAATGCAGGAGCAAAGCAGGGCGACGGTGAGCCGAATTGCACGGCTGCAGCTTCACAAGCAGGAGTTTGTCCAGCAAGCTGAAGCTTTGCGAGAGACGAACCCGGTCTATCGAAGTGGCGTGGCCGAAATCAATCGAGAGCTTTTGGCTGAATGGTTTTCCAGCGAGGACTTATTCGTTTGTCAGTGTTGTCTTGTCTGGTAAGCACATGTCACATAAAGAAACGCAGATCGCATCGAAAGATTGCAGGAATCCGTCGTGCCACCTCCGGTGCTGGACTGTGTGGTGGCTGTTCCTGTTGGCGAGGACGGGCCCGGCGTGGTTCGGCAAACCGGGCCAGCGGAGGCAACTGAAGCTGCCCAGCGCACTCGAGATTCTTCCGAGTCCGAGACCTGCGTGCTCGCCATGGAGCCGCAGGTGGAGGACTTCAATTCCCGCGGCCAAGAAATCTCTACGCTGGTCGTGAGCATGTTGCAGAAGTTGGAAGAGCTGCAAGATGCTGGCGCTCGGTCTGTTGCTCTGGAGATGGAAACTATGGTGGAGGAGCAGCGCACTCTGGTGGACCACCTGGGCCGCCAACACATTCTGGAACTCTGCCGCCAGATTCACGAGTCTTGCAGGCAACTTTCCGCTGCGGAGAAGCAAAGTCGTCTGGAGCGCGAGTTGCGAGATGCCGTCATGGGCAAGTCTCGATGGTTGAATGCTTCGGAAGCAGCTCTCGCGCCGCGTGTTGCGGAACAGGAGGATGATGGACCTGCGCCGGAAGCGGATCATGTGGATGGAGATGCAGCGGAGGAGGATGGTCAGGCCGCGCATTTGTTGGTGGCACGTGGCAAGCAGCCATTGAGTTTGTGGGATTGGAAGATTTGGACGATGGCCAAGCCGAGGTTGTGGCGATATGGTGATGCTGGAAATCTCTTCGAGAGGGACACAAACCTGTCTACTTCCGAGTGGGCCGCCTGTCTGCTTTTACGCGAAGAGCTCGCCTATGCTGTCGACGGGGAGCCTGATGAAGGGGATGCGGCGTTGCGACCCGTATTGGGAAGTCAGCCCGCGTCGGATCCTTCGGAAGCAGTGCGACCCGTATTGGGGAGCCAGCCCACGCAAAATCGTTTCTCCGGCGATTGGACAGCATTACACATGATGGCGACTGTGTCTCGTTTGACTGATCAACGCGCTGCTGCATACAATTTCCTGAAAAACAACGGCATGGCATTTGCGAAGAAACTACGGGAACTCAGCGCAGAGGATCTCGCCAGTGCCGCCCGCGCCGCGCCGCAGGCCGGGGGTACGGATCAGTTCTTCAAAGAAGCTGCAGTGCCGCAGACAGTGAAGGATGCGTTGCACGCCATGAATGCGGCTTCTGCCACAGTGTTGGGCACCGATGGTCATCGTCGACTGTGTCGGCACGAGGGCGTCGCTTACATGGAAGCGTTCGGACCTCCGTTGATTTTCCTGACTCCAAACGTAGCGGATACTCAGCATCCGTTGCTTCTGGTGGTTCAAGGGGAAGTCGTCGATCTGGGTGCTGTGAACGGAGATATGGAAACAGTCTTGCCAAAGTATCGGGACATGCTGCGACGCTTGGCACAGGATCCTGTCGCTCAGACCGTTCAGTTCGAGCTTTTGATGCGTCTGTTTTTCCAGCATGTCCTGAATGTTCGACCAGACACACTGGACTGCCGACGCAACGCGCCTCGCCGCGGAGCGAGGGAGTGGTGCAGCGATGGTGCAGCGGCGGCTTCTACTGGTGCTGGCATGTTGGGTCCCATTCTGGCTTTCCGCGGCGAAATCGAAGCTCAGGGTCGGGGATCTTTGCATCCTCACATTTTGGTTTGGCTCGTTTGTCGTCATATGCAAGTTGTGAGCGATCTGGCGTGAATGCTGCGCGAAGAGAAACATGTGCTTCAAGAACGCCTCCGAACTTTCATGCGCATGACGGTCGCCAGCTTCGAATCCATAGCCCATGCATCGGTGCAAGCTGCGCCGCGCATTTTCGGCGATCTGGATGCGGGTCGGCCTGTGCCCGTCAGCTCTGTGGCGCGCAACTTGTGCAAGTATGATGGCGGGTGCGATTTGGATTTGTTGAGAGAGATGACGGACTTGTCCGAAGACCAGCAACGATTTCTTAGTGCTTCTTCAGAAGAGGCCTGGCGGCGACCCGAAATGCATCTGGAGGATTCGACAGGCGGCGCTTCGTCGATTTTCAGTACTCCGATTAACTGTCTGCCGGTGGCGCAGACTCCAGGCTATCGCCTGCAGAGTGTGCTCGCCGCTGAAGCAGACCCGACAGCTGATGCCGATGCGTGGCAGTTGGCGTTTTGCCAGGCGCCTAGGCATTTCACGTAGCGCGGTCTAGATCCTGAATGTTGTTCGCAATCGAGTTTCTTCGTTGTGGGAGTCTTGTAATGTGCGAGGATCTGCACGATCTGGCTCCTTCGCTCCTGAAGCACATGTTCAGCGAGTCGCGCTACAAGTATTCGGATTCCTTTGCGACTCGATGGAAGATCTGTCGGCACGGCTATTATCACGTGGTCTTTTTGTGTGAAGGCTGCCGAGCACGTCGCAAAGGCAAGCCGCTGCGATTGGCAGTGCTGCAGAGATGGAGTTTGGCTCCGCCGGCAAAATGCGTCCGATTCAATTGACTCCTTTCGAAGTGCAGACCTGCTACGGCGGCACCGTCGCGGGCAGGCATAATTTGGACGTCCAGGACATGCGGCGTGCGCTCGATCCCGCTTTGTGGCTGAGGGCGACTGAAAGACTGCCTCAGATCGCTGGTCCGGCTAAGCAACTTGGCTACATGGCCGAGTACGAGTGGAACGGCACAGAGTACGAGTCGCGTTCGCCGTTCTCAGCCGTGTCTGTGTCCTGGGCATCTCGACGATGGCTAGCAGCCGGGTTTCGGGAAGATTGGTTGCAAGCGCATCGAGGCAGGAAGTCAAGAGATGAGTCGCGTGACCCGTATTGGGAAGCCGACACCGCTGGGAACACTTCCTCGTCTAGCTCTTCTTCCTCTTCAGAGGCAGACGGGGAGAACGACCTGGACAAAGCCATTCGCTGTGGAATCAGCGAAGCATTCGCAGATGGCATCAACAGCGGCTTTTACGTGAACAGACTCTGGGCGTTAGTAACTGTGCTCCAGGTGATAGGTGATAGAATGCTAGAATGGAAAGAGGAGATGGTTGAGAGGTTGAGATGGAGGAAGAAGATTGGGGGAGGGGGGGGGGGGCAGGACGGTAAAGAAATGCAATTACCGTAGGAACTTTTAAAGAGAGATGTGTGAACCGTGTTCTTGCTGTGTTTGTCTTCTTGATCAGGATACGACACGAAGCCGAATCAGGGATTGGGAGGCGTGCTGGAGGAGCTTCGTCGAGGCTACGGTAGTAAAATAAACTGCCGCTGACGTTTTTTGCTGCGCTTCGTCCGCTGTTCGTTGAGTTGTTATGTGTGTCCGACAGGCATCGAGCGTTTGGAGCAAGAACGCGAAAAGCGGGAAATGCTTCGTGCGCGGGAAGTTGAACAAGCGCGGGATGCCGGGCAGGAGTTGCCTCGCCGGCGCGGCGTGTTGTTTGCGGAGTCCTTGAAGACTTTGAGTCGCTTGAGTTCCTCGTATCGGAGGTGTCACTGGAAAAGCGGAGCAGAAGTAATCTTTCCTTTGTTGTACGGGCATCTGACGTATGCTTCCCATCGCACCTGGAAACTGTACACCAAGAAAGCCATCTTCTTCTGCCTGGAGGCATGGAGGCGTTGTTATGGAGACAGCGTGCTGCGTGGCGGTGTTGCTGATGGCGAAGAAGGAGAACCTGTGATTTATTGTCGGGAAGGCTTGGATGATTTGCTTCTGCGTGGCTGGCGAAAAGTTGAGCGCAAGGACGAGCTGACGGGCGAAAGCTTTCAGTTGTTCGTTGGATCCGAAGGTCAGATATGCAGCAGTGTGCATGAGGTGTTCGAGCAGCATCAAGCAGCTCGACAACTGTGCAAGTTGCCACAGCACAAGCTGACGTTCGTGCAGGCTCTCCTGAATCAACATGCTGTCCAGGAGAATCTAGCAGACCCCGATGCCGAGGACGAGGGCCTCGAGACGAATCTGAGGTCTTTGCGGGAGACAGGCCGGCTGACGTGTTGCGACAGTTTGTTTCGGTCGTCTTGGCGTTGTGATAGTGTTGTTTATTTCTACGTCTTAGATGGCGGTAAAGATAGATTAGCGGACAGACGCGAGGTTGCATTTTGCCGGATGACCCGTATTGGGAACTTCTGGATGCAACTTCTTGGATGTGTGGCATAAAAATGTATAGTCCATTTGAGCACGAGCTGCCAACTTGCTGGATGACCCGTATTGGGAAGTTCGGGAACTGACCTCTTGGAAAACTGGAATAAAGGCGTGCAGCTTAAGCGAGTTTTGAGCTCGACCGACTGTTGAGGTGAAGATGCTCCGGTCATGGCGGTCGATTGCTTTCCGCAGACAGCGGGCTATTTGTCGGTGACCACGTCGAGTTTGGAGGATTACTTATTTCGTGGGGAGCATCCAGTGCTGAAAGACATGAGCTGGTCCACCTACGGAATGTGGGTGTACAGGGTGGAGCTTCCTCCCGGAGCTGAGACTTCCATCAGAGCAGCGGTACCTCGATTCCAGGATATGTACTTCAGCTCGGCTTACAAGTTGTACAAGACGCACTGTCAGCGCATCAGTTCAGAACCTCGAGTTCCGATGTTCGAAGGGTTCACCATGCCTACATTAACGACTGATGGCGAACGGAACGCCATGTACAAACAACTTCAATGCCGGCCATTCGCAGTTGCGGCGTCTCCCGCGCCTGGTGCTTCGACGGAAGACCTTGTGATCGATGCATTTACCGTGTTCTCTCAGCCTTGCAAGCCTACGACAACCAATCGATCACTGGCAGCTGCCACTGCCTTTACCGAGTCGTACCTGGAATGGTTTGCAGAAGCGCAGACGGCAGCGGACGAAGGGCGGCTGCGGTTTGCGGAGCGGCAAGAGTACCCGTCTCTGTGGGAGACGGAGGAGATGCAGGCTGCCATGCAGGAGAAGTTGGAGCTGGCGCGGGCAGAGGAAGATGAAGAGGAGCCCGTCGTGTCTCCAGGCGACACTCAGCGGGCGCCGCGAGCTACAGTGGAAATGTATTCATCCATGCAAGCCCTGGAGCGAGCAGTCAATCTGGAAAGCTTGGCCCGGGCTCGGCAGGAAAAGCCCAAGAAGAGGCGAGAGCTGGATCAGTACCTGCAGCAAGACTTCGTGAAGATAACCACTGCCGGCGAGCTAGAAGATGCGGATGTCGACGACGAAGAGGAGCACGAGGATGCGCAGCTGGAGGGTGCTGCTAGATGTCCCTCCCATGTGTTTCAGCCCATCACCTTTCGGCCGAATCCGGACGAACAGCGGCGGCTGCTGCAGCTAGGCTATCAAGCCAGGAAAAACCGATACACGAGTGAATTTCTGGAGGAGACTTGGCTCCAGCAGGATGCTTTCGAGGTGGCACGGGCTGCACCCAAGGAGTTGCACAAACATAAAGCTCTGTTCACGTCGCTCAGCTGCTTGAAGCCGGCGTTTCGATGGAGTCTAGAACTGCATTTCTTTTTCTTCTTTTTTCCTTTAGTTCGTTCCTCTAGAGTGACGCTGTGCAAGATATCCACGGCAAGTCTCAGGAGGATCGGTCAAAGAAGCTGGAGTCGCTGCGAGAGCAAAAGCCAAACGAAGAGGAGGCGGAGGACGCTGACGACAGCCACTTGAAGCGGTTGCGAGCGTGGCTGCCGCGTCTGCCGCGACCGCGAGACTGTGTGCGATTCGCGGATCAGACAGTGTATGGAAAACCTTCCGAACTGTTGGGGGACATGATGCTTGCTCTGCCGGCGAACGAGAAGCTGAATGAAGATCAGGAGCTTTTCATGTGGCGGTTTGGCGACGTTCTGAACAGAGTTTACGATGAGGCCGGGTTGCGCGTTCGGATGTTCCGTTCATGTGCACGTGTGTGTGTGATGGCTGACATGTTTCTTTTCTGATGTTTTCGCAGGAACAGCGCTTTGCGCCGCACAAGTGCGGTGTGTATCACATGCTTTTGCTGGGACAAGGCGGTTCCGGCAAAACGCACGTTGTGCAGAATCTCATCTTCCCTGTTGTTTTGTTTATCTGGCCACCAGAAGATGGCAGCGAGACGCTTCGAGTGGTGGCTGCCAAGAACTCACAGGCTAAGAACATTTCGACGTCCTCTGTGCGAGCTACGACGGTGCATGCCGCTGCTTGCACGCGGGTCCAGAACCTGTCCAATTGCAACCTGGCGGCCGGCTCCAAGGAGAAGGCGTTGCGGACAATGTGGCAGAGCTGTCGCGTGCTGATCTTGGAGGAGATCAGCATGGTTGCTGCTATGTTGTACAACATGCTGGACTATCGTTCCATGCTCGGTCGTAGGCTGAGTCATGATGTGAACCCGCAGACGTACACTCGGATTGGTCGTGCTTTTGGTCGCGTTCCGATAGTTTTGCATTTGGGAGATTTCTTACAGCTGCGTCCCACTGCTCAGCTGTCGCTCCTGGACGATTTGAAGGCGAGAGACGAGGATGGCCGCTTGCTGCATTCTGATGTCCCGCCGGAAGTCCAGCATGCGCAGCAAGTGTTCGCAAACATTCAAGACGTGTTCGAGCTGCGGGGCACGAAGCGTTTCAAAGATGGCGATCCATTGATCGAGCTGTTGCAGTGCATGCGCGCAGGCCGTCAGTTGTCCGAAGGACTGTGGACGCCTTTCCAGCAGAGGTTCGTGACGGATGCTGGGCCGGGCAAGCCAGATGCCAGACTCCAGGACGAAAACTTCCGCTCTGGCTATTGCATGTCCATCTATTGGGCCTCCTTGTCTCGGATGCTTTTCCGCCGTGCTATCCTGGACGCTGCGCGAAGGAGCGTTCCGCTCGTGTTGCTGCAGTGTGCCGACGAGTGCTCCGAGCTGGACAAGGAGGTTGCGTTTCGGTTGCTGAATCAGCCTAATCCAAACCGAACCGGTCACATGCACGGCGTTCTGCCTTGCCATGTAGGCATGGAAATTCGGCTTCTGGAGAAGTTGGATGGGACGAAGGGGCTGGTGCAGGACACCCAAGCGACGATCTTTGATTTCGAGTTTTCTGCAGAAGATCGTCGTGCGTACAGGCGGACATCCGGTGGTGAGGTCTTTAGTCCACGTTTCTTGCCATCGGGTCTCTGGGTCAGCGTGCGCAACTACGATGGCAACAAAAATTGGCAGGCCATGGCGGCCGTTTGTCGTCTGCATGTAGAAACCGATGAGGCTGCGGAGGAACTGGCGCGCAGTCTGTGGTTTCTGCCTGCTGTGGAAGTGAAGATGCAATTCTCCAGTACGCAGAAGTACGTGATCAGACGCTGCGGGTTTCAGGTGTCGCACGCCAAGTTCATCACTAGCACCGCTTCGCAGGGAGTGACACTGCGACAGGGCACCGTCATCGATTGTGCGCGACTGCCCGAACTGGATGAGGATAACTGGTGGTTGCATTTGTACGTCATGTTTTCTCGTGTCACCTGCCTGGAAGACATGTTGCTGCTGCGTCCTCCGCCGAGAGAAATGTTGGAACGCGGCCCGCCGAAAGCCATCTTGGAACGTTTGCGGCGACTGGAAGAACGTGCAGCGGGTTGTCGCACTGGTGCAGTCAAACTGCGAGAATCCTTTGGCCAGACGCGGAAGCGGAAACGGCTCCCTGCGTGATTTGCTGATTGCTGATGCGCTTTTATTTTTCGATCGCCCGTAGGGTGACGCACGTCGATCCGGATTGGAAAGATGTGCTGTCTATGACGGTGCTGACATTTCATCATCAAGCAGACACCATGTGACGCGATGTTGGATGACAATCCGCGGCACATGTCGATCCGGATTGGAAAGATGTGCTGTCTACGTCGATGTTGATGTCTCATCATGTACAGACCCTGTGACGCGGCGTCGGATCAGCATCCGCGGCACCTGTCGATCTGGATTGGAAAGATGTGATGTTTCTAGGACAGACGTCGGTATCCGTGGCACATGTCGATCCGGAATGGAGAGATGTGCTGTCGAGGACGGTGCCGACGTCTCGTCTCGTAGACAGGGGCCATGTGATGCAATGACGGACCACCGTGAGTGGCGCATGTCGATCCGGATTGGAGAGATGTGCTGTCTATGACGATGCTGATGTCTCATCATGTACAGACCCTGTGACGCAACGTCGGATCAGCATCCGTGGCACCTGTCGATCCGGATTGCAGAGATGTGATGTCTCTAGGGCACACGTCGTTGTATGTTTGCAGAAGCCGTGATTCTGTCAGTTTGTTCGTTTGTCCGCAGCAATTTTGGACCTGAAGCTGATTGGCCTGCATCTTTTGATCTCATCCGCTCCGCCTTTTGGACATGGCTGATCCTCGTCGTCGATTTCAGAATCCGGTCGGATTACAGGCGCTCGCGCACGGCTCCTACAACGAGCTCTGTCGGCCTTGCGTAGACTGTGGTCTCTACACGGGAAGTTACTGTGACGGCGACAGTGAGGATTGCTTCGCTGCCGATCGTGTGCCGAGCGAACAATGGGCCGACAATCAGCGTACTCCGCTCTGCACCGCCTGTGATCGCAGGCACGACATGTGCCGCTTCTGTCGAGGGATCCCTTGGGCGATGCCGCCAGCACACCGCGATCGCGATCGACACCAGCCGGCTGGCCATGATCACGGGCCGGTGCCGAAGCTCCGAACAGAGGCTTCGATCAGCCGGTCTTTTATGTGGATCATCAGGGGGGCCAGCCCTTTCAGGGCCGGATGAATGCTGCCCGGGCTGGCCCATCTCCGAGTTTCGCTGGTGGCAGCTCGACTCCGGGGACCAAAGCTCCGCCGACCCGCAATCAGATCGCGGCGTATCAGGCTGGTCTGCGTGTATACTTCTTTTTAACTGTTCTTTCTCGTCCGATGCGTTAAATCGGAGCGGAGACGCGATCTCCAGCTGGTGATCGGTGTTTCGTTCGGACCGACGAAGATCGGGAGAAATCTTGCTCGGATATCGGGCGGATGCATGTCGCTCCGGATTGGAAAGATGTGCTGTCTGGTGTTCCGCAACGTCGGATCGCTGTCCGTGGCACGTGTCGATCCGGATTGGAAAGATGCGTAGTCTGGGATGGTGCCGATGTCTCATCATGTAGAGGCCATGTTTTGCAACGTCGGATTCTCTTCCATGGCACCTGTTGACCCGGATTGGAGATTCGGTGCTGTATGGGATGGTTCAGGAGATCCGACAGATGTCGACTGGAAGCGCCATGGCGTGAACTCGAAAAGCGCGCGACGCCTGCTTTGATCTTTGATGCATGTCCGCAAGGGAGGAGGAATAAGGTTCGCGCCGACTGAGCTACTTCCTTTCTGGAGTCAGAGGCTAATTCCGAAACGCATCAACAACGACCCTGCCCTGTGCATACATTCTAAGTTGCTGTTCATGTTTTCGGCGCAGTCGCCGAAGGGCTTCGGCTTTGGTTGCTGGTCTTCTGGAGTCGGCATCTCGGACTGCGCACCGACTCTCGGTCCGCTAACGTTCATTGAACCACCGGGTGGCACGTGTTCAGCATGTGGCTTCAGACCTGCAAGACAAAAAAGATTCGGCGGTGCGCGTCGATCCGTATTGGAGACACGCGCACCATCGAAACATAGGGCGCCACGTGTTCGGTGTGTGGTTTAAGACTTGCCAGACCCAAAGATTCAGCGGTGCGCGTCGATCCGTATTGGAGATTCACGCATCACTGATTCGGCGTTTGTGCAATGGCCACGGATGGCGGCCTCGACGCGGCGGTGATCCGGTTGAGTTTGGCAGCAGACGAGTGGTATCCGAACCAAAAAGTTAACCCGTCGAAAGGCAAGATGGTGAAGGCCTATACCGCCACGCTGGACCTGGCCAACGGAACCAGCCTCAGGGACCTGGTGGAGTATCGAGCTAGCGGGCAGGGTCGCAATTGCTATTTCTTCAGGAATCATCGTTTGGCGCTGAAGATTTTCGTGGCCCCGACCGGGCAGTGGGACGCGCACGAGACGGAAGAACTGGGCTTGCGGTTTTGGCAGCCAAGGCTGCCGCAACACATTCCTGCGTTTTTCGGCAGGTTCGTCGTCGATGCGGACACCCACCAGGGCATGCTTCGAGCGGATGCGATACTGGTTGGCAAGGCGGGTCCCACCCTGGAGTCGATCTTGGCCGGAATCGCGGAAGACGACTTGGGGCCTGTGGAAGTGCAAGTTCGACAACACTTTTTTCTGCTGGTTTCTGCGTGCAAGAACGCTTTCGACGCGGGTCTGCGCTTCTACGGAAACATGCACATGAACGACGTCTGTTTGGACGAGACAATTGTTGAAACTAAAGGCTTCTCAAGCCTTCCTTCCCACTCTACTCGCAAACACACTTTTCTCACTTCGCGGGCTGACTTGCTTAAGCCTCCGTGTCGCGGTTCACACACATGTTTCATGTGTTCCTGTGATTACTCTACACACTCTACTTGGGACTACGTGCACTAGGTTACAAACGAACACCCCGCCTCAGAAAGTTCTTGCGGGTTCCTAGGGTGTTCTTGGAAACTGCTAGGGCTTTCTGTACAGTGCTTTTGCTAGGGACTTTCGTCTCCGTTGTTCCTGGTCTTTTACCTAGCTGCACTCCTGCCCTGTTGCTACTTAGGCCTTCTATGTCTGTACATTGGCCTTCTTGAAAAACCTACTCTGTATATACAGCTACGTTCTAGTTAGGTCCAGCCTATGGACTCTTTGCGGGGAGGCCCGTACCCCGGTTTCCTTCTGCCCTTACGTAGCCTACGGGCTTTTCTTCTTTCGGGCTTCTTCTCTTTGTTCTTGGCTTCTCCGGCTTCTTGCCTCTTCTGGCCCTTGTACCTTCCTAACCTGCCTTTTGTGAAACTTCCTGTGAGACTTTGGAAGGTTGTAGCTTACCTAGGCTTACTGCCCCAGTTTGCTACGTCTATACATTTGCTCACACTTTGTACATGAATTCTTATGCTAGTATACATCAAGTCTTACGTTGCTTAGCTATGTACATATGTACAAGCGTTCACTGCTTGACCTTCTCGATCATCCCTTCTCGGGATCTTCTTCACTGGGTCTGCGTCCAGTTCTTGGACTTCTTGCCTTTGCTCTTTCCTTTGGGTGTCCACTGGTCCCACTGGTTCTGCTGCGCCCACTCTTCTGGCGACTGCCAGTAGCCTTTGTTGTGCGGGTTCGCGTTCTCGTACCAGTTGCTGCCGTCGTCGGTGGTGTTCCAGTTCTCGTTGTTCCACTGCTCGTTGTACCACCAGCTGTCGTTCTGTCCGTCGTCCCAGGAAGGGCCTTTTCCCTTGGTTCCTGTGTTGTCGTTCTTGCCCTTCATGCCGATGCGTCGCTGCACCTCTTCCTCGATCTTCTCGTTCTCCTTGGTCTCGAAGAATTTATCCAATTCCTTTCCGTCTGTAAACCACACGTTGTGCCTTCTGTAGCACTCCGTCACCTTGTTCCAAAGGAGGCGGCCTTTCACCGGAGCGTTCTTGATTCTTGGGGCTCCTTTCTTGTCCTCGCACTTCGCACGGTACTCTTGCGTCTTCTTGTTGAACTCCCACACGTAGCCAAGCTGCGTGAACTCGGCTATGTCGTTCGGGTCGAAAGTGTTCTCGTCTCCTTGGTTGCTTGAAGGCTTCTCTTCTTGGTCTTCTGTCTCTACCTGCTTTGGCCTTTTTCCTTTCTTCTGCTCTTCTTCTTTTGCCTTCGCCTCTGCCTTCTCTGTCTCTTCTTCTGCTTTGGTCTTGTACGCTTCTTCTGTCTCTTCTTCACCTTCGCTTCCAGACAAGGCTGCACCTATGGTTTCCTTGAGGCTTTTGACCTTCTTCTTGTACTTCACGATCTTGTCCTTAGCTGCAAGTAGAAGTGCGTCCACTTCCTTCGAGTAACTTTTGAAGTACTGGTAGTCGTCCTTGAGACTCTTGTAGTCGTACTGGAGGTCGTCGAGCTTTTGGTTCCTTACTTTCTCTTCTTGCTTTAGCACTTTAAGCTCTCTCTCCAAGTCCTTCTTTGCGTCGTCCACGTACTTCTTGGCGTACTCTTCTCTCTCCTGGTCGTACCCGACGGTTCTTTCCTGGGCTTTTCTCTCTCTCTTCTCTGCCTCTTTCTTCTTCTTCTCAACCTCTGCTTCCTTTGCTTTGACGTTCTCCTCAGCTTCTTCAAGGGCTGTCTCCTTCTCGCTTAAGGCCTTAGCTTGCTCTTGGAGGGTCTCTTGGTCTTTCTCTAACTTCTCTTCTCTTTCTGTAACTTTGTCTTCCTTTTCCTTCACCTCCTTCTGCTTCTTCAAAAACGTTTTCACTGTCTCCTCAAACTCTGTCTTTCGGTCTTCGAACTCCTCCTTTTCCTTCTCCAGGCTTTCCTCAACCTTCTTCAACTTCTCTGCTCTCTCTGTCACTTCTTTCTTTGCCTCGTCGAAGGAGTCCACGTCGTAGTTCACCTGAGCGGCAGGAGCTTCAGTCCTCGCTTCTCTCTCTGCTTTCTTCCTCCTTCTTTTGTCTTCGGCTCTTCGTCTGCTTTCTGAGCTGCTGCTTTCTTCTTCTTCACTGCTGTTCCTCTCTTCCTTCTTAGACTTCTTGTGCTTCTGCGGCTTTCTCATCTCGTTGACGACAAAGTATGCCGCCATGCACACCATGGCGAGCGTCACCAGGACTTCCAGAAGCGACATGCTTCCAGGACTGCTTGGGACTTCTTGTGAGCTTGCTACTTCTTGAGCTGCGGCGAAAGGTACGTGTTGTACGTAGGCTGCCTCAGTCTTTGCAAACAAACTCGAAAGTGCGAACAACATGCTGCTCTTGTTCTTCATGATCTTCTCGAGTCTTCTCACCACTTGTGCCTTTTCTTCTTCCTCTCGCTCTTGCTCTCCAACTCTTCCTTCGCTGTTGCACATGCCGATCATGTTCAGGAGAAACATCACTCTTTTCGTGCTGAGAGGCTTTGTTCCTAGGTCTGCTGTGTTTTCCTTTGTGCCAACTGCGTGTACAGTAAGCTTGCCTTCGCGTATTGCTGCTTGTAGCCAAAGTAAACGAATCTGCAAGTGCTTGACTCTTGACTCTTCCTGTTCCTTGGCGGTTTGTGATTCCGCGGCATGCGGAACTGTCTGTGTATGCTTTGAGTAGTACTCGTTCTCCTGTGAGGAAACGAACTGCTGCGTGCAAACCTATTCCTTCGCTTGCTGCTCCTGTAAGTGCCATGTATTCTGCTTCTGCTGAAGATAATGCTATTGACTTCTGCGTCCTGCTGTAGCTGTAGAAATATGCACCGTCTAGGTAGAACATGGCGCAACTCACTGACTTCCTAGTCTGCTTGTCTCCGGCCCAGTCGGAGTCGCTAAAAACTTCGAGCAAACGTTCACGTGGTTGTTCTCGAGGTTCTTGTGGTTCTTGTGGTTCTTCTGCGCGATGACGTAGAGCTGACGTTCCTGGGCTGTTCCTGTGGTACGTAACGGTGTAGTCTGACGTTCCTTTGAGGTAAAGCGCCAAGTGCTCCAGTTCCTTTCTTTTGCGTTCTGTTGGCTTCGTCATGGCAGTACTTAGGCTGCGTACTGCGAACTGGATGTCCGGACGGTCGTGCGCCACGTACAGCAAAATGCCGACACAACTTCTGTACGTTCTCGAGTGTTCCTCGTCCAGTTCTTGGGATCCGTCAGGTTCCTGACTGGCTGGTGTACAAGGAGAGTTCTTGGCCTTCTTCTTCTCCAGCTTGAGGATCTCCACGAGTTTCTTCACGTACTTGCTATCGCTATGTACTCGTAGTTCATGATGTTCGTACGTGTACTTCCCTTTTAAGAAACTTCACGGTCTCTTCAGAAAATCCTTTCTCGTAATCTTCCTCTTTCAGGAGAGGTCCTTCAACTTGTAAATTCACTTTCTTCTTGAGGTTCTTGAGGATTGGTTCGATGACTTCCTTCTTCCCTGAAAACTGCAAGTCATCTACGTGCACAATGCAAACTGCAACCACTTTTCCTTGTCGTAGAAGACGGTAAAGTGCTGGAACTGCTGTACAACGCTCAAACTTCTCTTCCACCAAAAGACCATCACAAAAGTCTGACCAAAGACTGGATGCGTCGCGCTGACCTGGCAAAACTCTTCCTAACTTCCAACACCAAGTTCCAGGGCTGCGTTCTGGTTGTTCCTGCATTGCTTGTACAACGTGAGCTGCTTCTTCAGGTACTCGACACAAACAAGGTGTTCTTTGAGGGACTTGTAAAAACGCGTCCTTCACGTCGACACTGTAGATCGCCCAATTGTTGGCGAGAGCCAACATGGGTACCAGTTTTGTAATTCCTGGGCTTGTCGCAGGAGAAAATATATCTTCTCTTTTTCCTTCTGTCTTGTATTCCCTTGCTACTAGCCTGGCACGTCGCTGCCAGCATCTCTGAATCTGCTTGGGCTTTGTTGTTCCTGCTGTGGCTTCATCAACTTCAAAACCTGTAGCTTCTCTGAACCTCCAATCTTTCACCAACTTCGTTGTCAACCACTTGTGAAGTTCTTGTTCCGAGTCTACCAGAGGTACGTTCTCAGTTGCTTCCTGAGGATCCGTAGAAACCAACGAAATAACTCCCATTTTTGTTAACCTCTTGATTTCTTTGACTGTAGCTTCATCATCCAACTTCTGAAGAAAAGCTGGATCCACGTTCGGTGGTCCTTTCTCCTCATCGAAGAACTCGACAGGGGCCTTGGTAGAAACTTCCGTTGGTTCACTCTCTGTCTCCTCTTCTTCTTCTTCCGACTCGTACACAAACACATCATCTGCTTCGTAGACTTCATCATCATGAGACATGTTGAGGTAACCGTCTGTTTCCTCTGCTCTGTTGACCTGCTTTCGTAGCTTGCTGGGTGAGCTTGGTTCCTCAGGCTCAAGGCTGTGCTTGCTTGCTTCTGCTCGTGGTTCAGCTGGTGCTGAAAGTGCTTCTGCTGAGGCTGTGAGTGGTTCAACTGCTCTGAGTTCCTCCAAAAGGGTGTCGTCATCAACCTCAGCTCTTCTCTTTCTGTCTCTCGTCACACTCATGCTGCTGCCTTCGCTTTGTTCCTCTCTGTCTTCAAGTGCTCGCTGCTGCTCTTCACTGCTGTCCTCCGAACTCGGAGGGTCGCTAGCGGCCTCGTCGTTCTCGAGCTGTTCGCGTTCTTCCTCGGCAACAGGGGGCAGGATGCTTAGCTGTGGTCGTTGTCTTTGCTTCTTCTCTGGAAGTACTCTTGCTCCAAGGAGTGGTGTGTTGAGGTTCCAGGTATGGACCTCTATGCTGCTTGTTCTTTTGGAGTCGTACTGTTCTGGTAGTGGTCTCACGCTGCGTGTGATATGTATGCCATCAGGCTGTGCAACGATCCATGTGTCTTGCTCTGTCATGCCTAAAAAATATTCCTGCGTTCCATATCCTGTCGCCTTTTCTTTTGATCTTCAACCTCTTCGCCATCACACAGGTACCAAAGGGTACAAGCTTCCCCGAATAGGGGTATCCGTGGATAACTTCCTGTGGCGTTCTTCCTGTGGAGCTGCTAACTGCGAACCTGTTGAGTAGCCAGCAGGCGTGTCTAAACGCCCAGCTTACTACTGCGTGCTCGTGCGGTCTTCCTAGCTTTGTTCTTTCTCTGAGCTCATCGAGAATAGTGTTCGCCTGCCCCCGTACTGTTTGTATTGCTCTTTCTGCGGCTCCATTGCTTTCGTGGTCGTAAGGAGTGCTTTCCTGTAGTGTTGTAGAAAGTCCAAGGCTGCTGCGTACCTTCTGTACTTTGTCCTTGAGTGCTTTGGCTGCGTTCTCGTTGTCTGCTTTGAGAACGAGGGTGTTGTACCCGAGCTGCGTGGTGAACTGCACGAGTGCTTCCGCGAGATGCGTCGTGCTTCCTGCACCTCCTTTCCTCTTGCAGGGCACCGCAAGAACTGCCTTGCTCCAGCTGTCCACAGCGACAAGAGTCACTGCTGGTGGCTCTTCACTTCCTGTGCTTGTATAGCAAAAGTCAAAACTGATGACGGGCTTCGCGGAATCCGTAGAGCTGCTTGGCTTGCTCAATCCTTTCTTGTGGTTGTCTTCTCGTGCTTTCATAGCAACGCAATGAGGACACCAGGGCTGATACGGAAGGTGCGTCAAGTTGTGGTACGCTCTCTCCTCTTCCGTTGGTTCCTGTGGTGGTGCCAAGTGGTATGCTTGGTGGTGTTCCCGTTGTTCCTTGTGTTGCGTGCTGAGCCTTTCTTCTCTGACTGCTGTGACTAGCCTCTTCAAGAGCTGCTTCTTGCTTCCTGTGGTCTTCACTCCGTACTCTCTGCAAAGTGCTTGTAGTTCTTTAAGACTGCTCCTTTGTGCTGTGTACTCGACGCCTTCGTGGTAGAAGCTTTCCTCCAAAACTTCAACAACTTCTTGTGGTGCTTCTTGGTCTGCTTGTGCTTCTCTCATCTCTTCGTCTTTGCTTTCCTCTGCTTCTGGTGGTGCTGCTGAATCTTCCTTCTCTTTGTAGTGGTCTTCTTTCTTCTGCTTTAGCTCCTCTGCTGCAGCTTCTGCCTTCAGGTCTTCAACAACTTCTGGCTTCACACGAAACCTTGTTTGACCAAACCACCGCAAACGAAAGTGTTCACGTAGAGGTAAGCGGTCTGCTCTCCAGTCGTCACTGTGTTCGTAGATTTCTGTACTGTAGATGCAGTCTCCTTGGGTATACCTGCTGTTCTCGAGATCTCCAAGGAGGACAGGACAGTTGGAAACACCTGTCGGGTCAAACAAAACAGTTCTTGGTACTACGTGGTGACGAACAACTTCTCCTTTCTCAAGATCCATCTTCCAGTAGTCACGACTCGACCATGGCTTTCTTGGTCTGCTCGATCTCCGGCAGCGTAAGGGGTGCCAAGGATCCAAAGTGGAATTGGCTTTGCTGAAATGGCTGTAACCACTTCCTTTTCTCCTTCAGCAAACTCTTCAAAAGGGTCTGCCTTCTCGGAGTACTTTCTTGAAACTTCGACTGCTCTCCATCCTCTCTCTTCTTTCACCAAAGTGCTTCTGTACGGAAAGTGTAGGGCTGTACATGAGAGATGGGTTCTCATAGCTGCTTTGAGTGGCATACTTCACGATCACCATGCTGTCTGTGTTGTGCCAACCAGGTTCTTCTTTGTTCACTGCTTCCTGAACGTGCTTGTTGAGTTGGACAACAGTGCGAACCATCTTGTAGTTGTTGCTGCTGTAACCTTTGCTTCTTGAAGGAGTTTGTACGTAGGCGTAGGCTGCCAAGCTGTTCTTGTGGAGATGCACTGGTATTCTTGAGCTTCCATCTGTAAGACACATACCTTCTTCTTCGTTAACTCGCAACTCCCAACCTTCTCGAAACAGCTTGCCTATGGCCATCAGCGGGTTGATCACCGAGGCAACGGTGAAGGCTTCCTGAATGCGACAAAAGCCTCCGTCGTCATCAAAGAACGTTAAGTTCAGCATCCTTCTGCCTTCCGTCTTTATTGCCTTTCCTTGTGCGTCCTGAATGGACGAAGGGCGAACCTTCAAAGGGGTTCCTTCTCTTCCTAGCCAAGAGGGCACAAGAGAAACGTCTGCGCCAGAATCCAGGATAACTTCGATTCTTTGGTGAAGATCACTTTCCTGGAAAAACTCTTCCTCTACAACGCGTACTGAGAGAACTTCTTGTGGTGGTAGTGCTTCACGTCCAAGGTACCAGTTTAGTAGAGGATCTTCTTGCTCTTCTTCGCTCTCTTCTCCTTCTGACAAAACAAACTCTTCCGCTTCCGTCACTCTCAAAACTCTTCCAAAGTACTCAATCTCGAGCTCTTCTTCGTCTTCATCAAGTTCAAAAACTTCAGGGTACGTGACGGGATCGTCGTCCATGTGGTACATCGCAATCTGCCGAACTGTTGGCTTAGCTGTAGACTTCGCGCTTGTAGTTCTTGTTGTTGTGGCTGCTGAAGCGCTACTGCTTGGAACTGTAGTAGGCTGTGTCCTGACGCTTTGCTCGTCTTCCTCCTGTGCGTTCCTGACGTTCTGCTGCATGTCTCTCTGCTTGAGTCTGCAATTGGCTTCGTAGTGTCCAGGCTTTTGGCAGTAATGGCAAACACCAATTCCTGGGTTGTTGTAGCCTTTACCTTTTCCTTTGTTGCTGTAGCCTTTTCCCCCGCCTTTGCCATATCCTCGGCCTCTGCCTTTTCCTTTTCCTTTTCCTCGTCCTTTTCCTTTTCCTCGACCTTTGTAGTAGTACTGGCTTTCTCCTTTTCCTTTTCCTTTGCCGAAGCCTTTGCCTTTGTACTTGCCAAATCCTTTTCCTTTCTTTCCTTTTCACTTTGTCCTTTCCTTTGCCTTTCCACCATTCCACTCGTGAAACATCCATGTCTGCTTGTCCTTGGTGGTCCTTTCCTGAGTTGATGAGGTCTGTGGTAGTCCACCTTGCTGCTTGCTCGTAGGAGAGGAGGTACTGTCGTAATGTTCCGTACTTTGTGGTCTCTTTCTGGTTGAGTAGAAGATGTTGTCTCATGTTCCCTTCGGTTCCTCCAAGAATGATAGAAATCTTCATGTCATCCGCAACAAGGTCTCCACTCGCTCTCTCGTACTCTTCAATCAACTCCTCGAACTTTAGGATATTTTCTTGTGTTGACCTTTGCTTGTCGAACCTGTAGTGAAGAACTCCGTTAAGTAGTTGTAGAGAACGTGCACGGTTGTGAGGCTGATGCTCCTCCACCAGCAACCTCCATGCTTCGAAACCGTTCTCGTTGGGCACTTGTTTTAGAGTTCGTAGAGGACGGCCACGTGTATAGCTGGTGAGAATGGAATGTAGCTTTCTTGAAAGTGCTTGTTCACCTGGGTTAAGTTTGCTCCATTCCCATGATGCTTCTCTTCTATCCATCTCGACTGCGTTGATCTTCTCAAGGATGTCGTTGTTGAGAGCGCCTATCCAACTTCTCAGCTTCAACCGAAACTCTAGAAAACCATCACGCTCTTCCTTGTATGTAGTAGGGCCAAAGACTTCTGGAGATTTGATCATCTTGTGGAGGTCGATCTCTCCTGGCCTTCTTGACTCTGCGTGCTGCGACAGTGCTGTAACTGCGTCTGCTGTAAGCTTTCCTGTTGCTGCAACCGCGTTTGCAGTAAGCTCTGCTTGTTGTGACAATGCTGTGTTGGTTGCTTGGGTTGCTTCCGTAATTGCTCTCTGCTGTTGTGAAACTGACTGCGCGAGTTCCTGTAGTTGTTGTGAAGCGGTACCTGCCTGTGCTTGCTGACTGTTCATTGCTTGGGCAAGTGCTTGTATCTGCTGTGTGTTTTGGGCAGTGAGGTCCGTAAGCCTTTGCAAGGCTTCCTCCATTGCAACTGCACTCTGCATGTGACTGTAAAGCAACACAACATGCAACCAGACCCGCTTCTTGAAAAGAACGCTGCAAACTGACCTGTGCAACTTCCTTCTCGAAACCTTCTTCTTCAACTGTTCTCTTTTTGTTTGTTTAACTCTGACCCAAAAATAGGGGTAGATCCAAGTGACCATACCGAGCGGGGTCCCAAGTAGAAGTAGAACTGGGTGACACGTCCGCACGACGTAGCTCACGACGGGCTCAAGGCTTCTTCCTGCTTTCGCAAGGTACTCTTGAAACTCCAAAACCAACTCAAACACAAGGTTCTCGTAGTAGTTCACGTGGGGCACTTCTTCGTTCTCTAGGTTCTCGTTATACTCCGTGACATCACCATCATGAAAACTGTAGTTGCAACTTTGTTCTTTTTCTTCTGTTCTTGTAGAACTCGGAGTGCACGTTCGTCTTCTTGAGGTAGCTCGTGACGTTGATCTCGTTCTCGTTCTCGGTTTGGTATTGGGCTCATGTAGATGCGACCACAACGTGAAAAGTTCTGTGTGATCACCTTCTTGGCTCATCCCGGCAGGTACAACATCTGCTGGGGTAATCTCCTTTATCACATGCTTCTTCTTAGGGTTCTTGTCGTCGAGGCTGAGGACCTTGTTCCTGTGGTTCAGCATGCGGTTCGTGGCCAACGGGTAGCCGTAGGTCTCGTTCACTTCAAACACCATGAACCATGACATGGCCATGAGAACCACAACCATGAAGACCTTTAGCCAAAGGTACTTTCCTGCTGCTTCCAAAAAGGTTCTCTTGTACTCGAAGGTGCGTTGTTCCCGGGATCGCAGTCCACCGGGGCAGCAGTACTTGCATGGTAGTGCTCGGTGTACACTGGTTGCGTTCCTGAGGCCATGACATCTTCCTGAAACGCGGGTCTTCTCTCCGTAAGGCGAGTACCAGAGTTCTGGCACCTCTTCCTCAGCTGGAGCTACGCGCTCCACCGTCTCCTTTCTCACAAGTTCTTTCACAAAGCTTCTCGCCAGACACATCAGCGAAAAAGCCAAAGCCAAGGAAACCATGGCGACAGCTACCTGTTGTTCTTGTGATAGCTTCATCGCTCCCAAGAGGTCTGAATCAGGGAGCTCCGCTACCATGTTGAAACTAAAGGCTTCTCAAGCCTTCCTTCCCACTCTACTCGCAAACACACTTTTCTCACTTCGCGGGCTGACTTGCTTAAGCCTCCGTGTCGCGGTTCACACACATGTTTCATGTGTTCCTGTGATTACTCTACACACTCTACTTGGGACTACGTGCACTAGGTTACAAACGAACAACAATCGACGCACTGGTACCTGTGGAGCCTCATCTCACTTTTGCCGATTGCATGAGGAGAGCCAGGAGATGTTTGATCAGGCCATCACGTCCGAGGGTTCCGGCCTTCGATGCGTTCGAGGAGTTGGCACGTACTTACCTCCAGGGCCTCGGGGTGGACGTCTCGGATCTGACACGGCTCCGTCGCCAGCTGGCGTTGCCAAACAACTTTTCAATTCGGCGTGCTGCAAGCAGATGGGTTTGGGTACCTGACAGCGGCCCGCAGGATCCTGCACGATGTGACGTGTCGAGCGCTTCAGCTGCCGAACCATATCCGGGAAGCAGCGCTTCTGCGACTGGCTCGGTTGCCGTGCAGCAGTGCTTGCATGCTGTTATTATTTGTCTTGGTTCTGGTATTAGTTTCTTTCGCTTTTTTTTCCTATTTTTTCAATTTCGTTTGGCTACCTGTTTGAATGTCAGGTTCCCGGCGCCTTTTCGACAGCAAGCGGTGCGGAGGACCGCTTGCCTCCGTGGGCATCGCCTGCGGGGTTCAGCGGACCGTCCGGGCAAGTCCTTCGGCAGCTTCTTCGTGTCTTGCGCAAGATTCTCTTTCGGCGTTTGCTTATATTATATTTCCATAGTTGTATGGGATGCGACGAGATACTGCACTGCAGGAGCAGATGTTGGTTCGTCGGACCGCCGAGAAATCTCGCGCTCTGGATCTAGCTGCTGGGGCAGTGGTGGTAATTCGGAGGAGAGACGAGACTGAGCGCATGCTCTATGTGCGGCTGCCAAATGGCAATGACAGCTGGATATATTATCACGATGTGGCTCAGCGGGTGTGATGACTGTCTGCTCGCAAGAATGCATTGGACGTGGGTTGGCGTTGCTATCTCGACATGTCCATGCGGTACACTGGCTTGGAGAAGAGAACATAGCAGCGTACGTTCCTGGATCGAGCGAGCGCGGATTCTGTGAGCTTTATCTGAGTATCATCACGAGGAGATACGTGCACGTGTCACTTTTTTTTGCCGTGGGTAGAATCGTGGTTGTTGCCTGGACTACGATCGCGACGGGTCCGGCGGCACGACGCGTTCTTTAAAGCTGTTTCGATTTCGATGTCTCACCGCGTGTAGGTATGATACCGTCACTTCCAAAGGAACAGCTGCCTTTGCTCGGATTTACAGCGAGGGAGTAGGAGTAAGTAAGGATCGCAGTAACCGAATCACATTCTTTCTATAGTCAGAGGCTAATTCCGATACAGATTCGCAACGACCCTGTCCTGTGTACACATTCCAAGTCGCTGTTCACGTACTTGGCGGGCTCGTCGAAGCGTTTCGGCTTTGGTTGCCAGGCTCCTGGAGTCGGCACCTCGAACTGCGAAGGAATTCTCAGACGTTTAATCATTTAATGTTCATCGAAACACAGGGCGGCACGTGTTCAGCATCTGCTTTCAGATCTGCAAGACAAGAAAAAGTTTCGGTGGTGCGTGTCGATCCGTATTGGAGACACGCGCGCCATCGAAACATAGGGCGCCGCGTGTTCGGTGTGTGGTTTAAGAGTTGCAAGACCCAAAGATTCAGCGGCGTGTGTCGATCCGTATTGGAGATTCACGCGTCGCTGAATCTGCGTCTGTGCCATGGCCAGTGTTGGCGTCCCCGTAGCGGAAGTGACCGCGTTGAAATTGGATGCGAAAGACTGGTATCCGAACGTAAAGGCTAACACCTCGAAAGGCAAGATGGCGAAGGCCTATACCGCCACGCTGAGTCTGGCGAACGGAACCAGCCTCACGGACGTGGTGGAGTATCGAGCTAGCGGGCAGGGTCGCAATTACTATTTCTTCACGAAGCATCGTTTAGTGCTGAAGATTTTCGTGGGCCCGACCGGGCAGTGGTCCGCGCACGAGTCGGAAGAACGGGGCTTGCAGTTGTGGCAGCCAAGGCTGCCGAAACACATTCCTGCGTTCTTCGGCAGGTTCATCGTCAACGCGGAGACCCACTCGGGGGTGCGTCGAGCGGATGCGATATTGGTTGGCAAGGCGGGTCCCACTCTGCAGTCCGTCTTGGAGGGAATTGAGGGAAGCGATTCGGAGTCTATGCGTCAGCAGGTTCGGCAACACTTCTTCCTGCTGGTTTCGGCGTGCAAGAACGCGTTCGACGCGGGTCTGCGCTTCTATCCTGACATGCACGCGCGTAACGTCTGCCTGGACGAGACTCGAGCAGTACATGTTCGTGGATCTGGAGACGTTGCTAGATGTGAAGCGTCATCTGACTTTTCCCGATTGCATGAGGAAAGCCAACAAATTTCTTACCAGGCAAGCATCATTTCCACAGGGCCCGCCCTTCGCTGCGTTCAAGCAGTTGGCAAGCACTTGCATCGATGACTATTGGGGGAGAATATCGGACCTGACATGGCTCCATCGCCAGCTGGAGTTGCCGGACAGATATCTACCCGAAGCGCCGTCTGATCCGCCGGCCCCGCTATCGCCGGCGGACTTCGCAAATTTGGAAAGACTACAACCAGCCGCCGCGCCGTCGCATCCGCGGGCCGCGCTTCCGCCGGCGGCCTTTCCAAATGTGCAAACACAAGAACCGCCGCCGGCGCCTGCCGTCGAGACAGCATGGGATGAGTCGAGCGCTTCAGCTGCCGATCCATATCGCCCAAGCAGCACTTCTGCGACCGTCTCGGTCGCTGTGGAGCAGTGCTGATATCGGTTTTTAAATTCTTACTATTATTTATTTTTTTTTATTATTTTTGTTTGTTAATTCGGGTATTGGTGTAAGGCTCCTGACGTCTCTGCGACGGCAAGCGGCGCACCTGACCGCCATGCTTCATTGGAACCGCCCTCGGCGGCAATCTCCAACCCGTCTCAGGAAGGGGTTCAGCCGACCGGCTCGGCAGCATTTTCAGGTATTGCGCAGGACTCTCATGCAGTTTTTTTTTGGTTTATAGGTGTTCATTTTTTTTTAACTCTTGTACGGGATGCGTCGAAACACTGCAGTCACTGCAGGAGCAAAGGTTCGTTCAGCTTATCGCTGCGACAGCTGAAAAACTGGAGGTACCTGCTGGCACAATGGCGGAAGTCACGTGCAGAGATGACGTGCAGCAAATGCTCTATGTGCGGCTTGAGGAGGACAGGTTTAGCTGGATATACTTTAAGGATGTGCTTCAGCAGGCGTGGTGAGATGGAAGATTCGGAAGGAGGGGGCACCAGGCAGTCGTAGGCGATGCTCGCATGTCTGCGGCAGGCTGCGGCGCCGCAGGTGACAAGGCCGACCAACGAGGTACCGGAGGGGAAGCGCCCTGCGGCCGGAAGCTTTTCTTCGTTTTGCCAGTTGTGCTTATGTCAGGAGATGACCTCCGCTTCTCTCGAGGGTTCGGCTGAAGGAGTCGCTGCTGAGGCCTCCAACGCTCGTCGGGTTTAGGATTTAAGGTACTTGCCTTGTTGACCCACTAGTTGCAGCTCGAACGCCAGGTTCCAACTTCATTTTCTGGCGGCGCAAACGTGCCGGTGCCGATGGCTGGAATCGTCGAGCAGGACAGTGAAGTGTTTCTTGTTGGAAAAGTTTGCAGAGTAGTGCTTGTTGCGTCGGCTGCAGGCTGGTACGTTTGGCCATGCTCATGAAACTCAGTTTCAGCAACAGCAGCAACAGCGACCACCGACTGCTGGAAGGAATCGACCGGCAATGTTGCGACGTCGTCCAAACCGCCTTCGTCTGGTCGACAGGCTCGGAGAGTCCGATAGCTCGAGTTTGCTTTTGCGACGTGTCAGGGACAGAAGCAGAAACGCCCTCGACTCATGATGCGCCGCAACAAGACTGCGAAGCCGGTCGAGGCGGCGGCTGTCTGCTTAAGAGTGAGGAGCTTGTCAGGCTGCTTCGATGTCTTGTTGTAGTTGCCAGGTAAGCGAGCCGGAGCTGCCGCCCTCGACCTCGAACGAGTTGCCTTGCTCGCTGTCAGTATGCGAGCCGGAGAACGCGGCCGGTCATTATTCGCTGCTTTGGAATGAGCTGGTGACCGTCAGCAAACAGCAGGAGACGTCGCATATCATTGATGGTTCGGTGAAGATCGTATTGTCTGTTCGGTCCGGCACGAAAGCCGATGGCTGCAACTGGCCTGGCCTCGATCTGAGAGCATCGGTGACTTGCTGTTGCCCGGGCGGCGGCAAGTTGACTCCTGACCAGGCTTTGCAGAGGCAGAGTCTGTTCGAGAGCATCCTAAGCAACATCGCGCTGCACTGCTGTCCGCAACCCCTCTGTGGGTGCCACACTCACGACGACTTCTTTCTGCGAGATGCCGACCGCTTGTCGGAAGACACGTACCAGCACTTGTCCGGCAACTGGCGTAATCATTTGTTGCGAGCTCGCCTGGAGCAGGCGTTCGATGTCGAGCTGCCGCTGCAGCGGCACTCCGCCCTGCCGTACTCCACGGTGTTCAGGGACACCGAGCGAGAGCAGCAGGCCGCGCGGGGCACATCTGGAGGGTGGACAAGCCTGGGGCACGGGACTGAACCTTTCGCCGCCAGATTTCCATTCGATGTTTTGGATCTTGGCGCTGCTACATGAGCACTTGACGGCACGATACTGGGAGGTGAAAGGCCGGCTACCGCCAGGAAGTGAAAGAGGGGCGGCGAGAAATTTCCGCACTTTTGCAAAATACTTTATCAAGAAGCTCTGGGCAGCACGGAGTCTTGCACTCAGATCTCACGTTCCATACTCTAAGCAAAGTAGTGACTCGGTGGAGGTTTCGTGTTCCGTGGATCTGTGACTAAGGCGCCCACAGCGCTGGTTCGGCAGCTCGAGGAGTTCCTGCAGGCACAGATCAACATCAACGAGACCCACCAACACGGAAGGAATTTGTTCTCGTTTGAGGGCTTGCTTCCCGGAGATCTGAATCCGCGCAAATTATGTGTGGACACGGTACAGACGGCGGCTTTCGTGTTGCCCAACGTTTCGTATTTAGTTTACGTGTCAGCGGAGCAACGGTGACCCGTATTGGGAGATCCGTGCCTCCTGACATGTCATCTGCTATCTACAAATGTTGTCAACGGAGCAACGGTGACCCGTATTGGGAGATCCGTGCCTCCTGACAGGTCATCTGCCAAATGTCAGAATGGAGCAGCAGTCGGCATCGACGAGTATCGGTAAGCGCCAAAACCGTCGCCATGCTGCACAACCGGGTCGCACCAGAGTTTAGGTTGATGTTTGCGTTTCTGCTCTGCCAGGGACTTCGTGACACTTGCAGCTTCCCTCGAATCCTGTTCTTTGTATGTTCCGTAGCAGACGTAGACGTAGGGTTCTTGCCCTTTCTGTTCGTTCCGATGGAGTCCTCTTCGTTGAAGTTGACATTCCAGGGTTTTCTCGAATCGTTCCCTTTGATGGAGCGCATGAAAGCACGGGTGGAACGTGAATATGAACGCGGAGAGTGGAATGAGCTGGACCGACGTGTTTGGGAACACAGCTATAGCATGAGGGATCTGAGTCAATGGCCATTCGATGCGGTCAGTGTTTTCAGTGAGGGAGAGTCCTGCTATTATCTCGGCAGCTTGAAATCGGCTTGTTCTTTGGAAAGCTTCCCGGACAGATTTGGACATGGCGTCGACGTGGTAGTGAGCTGTTGCGCAGAGGAGCTGCGTGCAATGACGGGAGGGCCCACAAATTGGCGGCTCTACTTTCTGTCTCAAGGCGTGAAGTCTTTGCAGTTCGCTATGAGAGATCTCACCGTTCGGTCAAGAGACGACGCGGTCACCTTTCTGGGGGAAGCGCGTCACACTGCGAACGCTTGGTATGCAGTGGCGGCACATCTTGTGGTGTGTCGTCAGCAAGCGAGCGAGGCCGGGGTGCCTTTTCGCGTGCTCTTTCACTGCTTCGGAGGCATCAATCGCAGCACTGGCACGCTGGCTGCCTGGCTGGTGATCGGACATAACTATACTGCGGAAGAAGCTGTTGATGCCATACTCCGGGTGCGTCCTTCATTGCGGCCATGGTGCGATCGAGATTACGTTCTGTGGGTTCTTGGCTCTTTGGAAGTGCAGCGGCAGACGGTTCAGACGCAAGTCCGCGCATTGGCGCGTGATGTGCAGGTGGACAGGGTCAGTTACTGGATGCCGCCTGCTTCCGTTGTTTGAGCTGCCTTGCTTCGACCCGTATTGGGGGGAGTGCAGACGGCCTATGCAGCTACGTGACAAGTCGCCTTGACCCGTATTGGGAAGAGAGTTTGCGACCAGTCTCGTTGCATGCTCGAATGCTCTTGTTCCCGCGAAGATAGCGTTGGAGCCGCATGCTTCGGCGAAGCCTGTCGTCGCAAGCGTCTGTAAAGAAGCCATCAGTCAGTGTCTAACGTGATTCCTCTCGCTAGGATGGAAGCTGTTTAAAATGCTCGACACCGTTACTATCCGTAGCACACACACACCGGCTTGTCTGCAGCGTCTAGTACAATTCTAGCTGCCATGCAACCGGCCGAGCGGGAGGAGCTGACGCGGCTGTTGCAGAAGATGGCTCGGCGGGAAGCGATTCGCCGCTATGGCCGTGAGAACCAACTGCAGCTGGAGCACGAGGATCGCGAGCAGGAGACGTTGTCCTGGGCGAAGGCGGAAGTGAAGGACACGTTGAAGCGAATTCAGCTCGAGGAGGTCGCGCACGTGCTGCCTGCGAGTAAGAAGAAGGACGGGAACAAGAGGAAGAAGGAGGCGAAGGCGGCTGCCGCGCAGGCGGCCGAGAAGTGTGTAAAGCAACGGCGCAAGCCCGCTGCGAGCGAAGGCGATGTAAAGACGTAGATTGGTTTCCAGCATCAGGATAGGCGCATTCTCGTTTGTTTGTGTTGTTTCGATGGCCTTTGAGGACAGCCTCGGCCCGTACTGGCAAGACTGCTGATTCGCATTTGTGCAATTGTTGTGATGGCCTTGATGTTTCGCTGGGACAGCCTCGACCCGTATTGGGAACAGTGCTGGTCTGCGTCTGTCGCCAATGCCGGTTCGGCTTCCATCCCGTACTGGGAAGAGTGCTGATGCGGCGGGAAGTGTGAAATGTTGCGATGGCCGTTTGCGTACTCAAAGCTTTCAACCGCACAGCATCGTGGTCTGAGGTTGGCAAAGCATGGCAACAGGGAAGCATTCGTCGTGGAGCCGTGACGACGAGATGCTGCCGCGGCCAGACCCTATGGAACAATGAGTTTGGGTGTGTTTCTGGCTGTTGGGATGGTACACATTCGCAGGGCATTGCGTAGTCTTTCTGATTCTTTATAAGTGAATCTATTGGGCCTTCTGCCAGAATCCGAGCAAACGCAGCAAGCAAGGCCCCGCAGGAATCTCTCTCTCTCTCTCTCGCTCTCTCTCTCTCTCTCTCTCTCTCTCTCTCTCTCTCTCTCTCTCTCTCTCTCTCTGCCAGGTAAAAGGAAGGCAGCGGACGCTACCCTCCTCGCACGCGAACGCGCACCTGCAGTCCGCAGGATTTGGTCTCTCCCCCATTGACTTTGTCAAAAGGGGCTCGGCTATACTTTCAGCCAAATTCCCCCAGTATTACCAGTGTCTCACAAAGCAGGATGATACACCAAGTCAAAGAACAAGGTAATACTCGGTTCCCGCTTCGTTCCCCGCTTCTATATTAGATCGCAGGTCAAGGGCTAGTCGCAAAACTAATTTCACTCTCTCTCTCTCTCTCTCTCTCTCTCTCTCTCTCTCTCTCTCTCTCTCTCTCTCCGTCTCTCTCTCTCTGTCTTTCTATCTTTTTCATAAGCAGCAAAAGTTCGATGAGGCCTCTAATTCGGAGCAGCGTTCAGGACTTTAAACCCTTGCACCCGCGGATGCCCCACTTGCGGCCGCACGGGCAGATGTCAATAAGCCAACCCAACACCACCAAGAAAAGAACGGCCGGCCGCCGCTCCTCGACGCTTCGACTTTGAGTTCCGAAGTGTGGTTCGTGACGAAATGATGCACCGGATAGACGAGATTCCAGTTGTCGAGCTGGTTTTGGCCGTCCTGTGCGACGCGAACGTTCTCCACACGAGTACTTGGCGAAAGGCCATGCACCCACCCGAAAGTCTCATGTCGAGAACGGGCTCTACAGGCTACATCGATTGAACCTTTCCACCAACAGAGGTTACAGCGGCTTATACAACACTACGGCCCACAGCACTGAGTGGGATTCGGAGAACTTCGACCCGGAATGGCATTCGCCGAGCCCTGTTCTTCCTCTTTCTTGTTTCGTTGCTTCATTGCACCTGCTGCCGGAATTATTGCTCCCGACTAGTTCTGCTCTTGGGGGTGCATTCATCTCGCATTTGTGACAAAGTGTGTTTTCGGTCCTTAAGATCCTTGACCCGCAATGGAATTCAACACCAGCAAGAGAAAGAATCACGACACGCGCAGTGGGCTTTCCCTAGGCTGCCAGTGTTTGCTTGCCCTGGTTTCTTTCATCTGAGTCCCGTCTCGACTCCCGTCGCCAATCCTGCATGGAGTTCTAGAAGCACTGCAGGCCCCAAGCAAGCCTCCCGAGGGAGTGTGCAAGAGGTCGTCATGGAAGCTCTTTTGCTAACTTGGCGTAGTTTTTGGTGTGAGTCTCGCATCTAGCGTTGCCACGCTAACTTCGGATGCCCGAGACATGAATTTGTTGGGTTCCTCTTGTCTAGGGCATAAGACTCCCCGAACCCTTCTAAGCTACGGCCGCCTCTGTTCCGAGCGTGAAAGCTTTCACAGCCTTCCTCGATCGTGCATCTTCATCATAAGGTTTCCCGAACGAACAGACAAGCACGCGTCTAAGCCATGGGCGTCCTTGCTTGCAGGAACTCTCCGAACAACGGTAGACACTTCTGAGCCGCTGTTGGCGCGGTTTACAGTCAGTAAGTTTATAGGCCACACTCAAGAACGCCCGAGTCCTGAGGCTTGTTTAGGTTTGGCATTTCATTTGGATCTTCGGCTGGTTCTGGGCATTGGTCTGGCTGCCCAGGCCGAGCACGAGAACTGCGACGAGCCGGGGCCTGGGTGGGTGTGGTTGGACTTTTTGAAGAGTTTGAATAATTCCGATATCAATTGGAGAGCCGACGCGGGATGTCTGTCCGGATTAGTCGTGAGAAGAAAGGGATGTTTCCTTTATCGATTTCTGCAGTTTTTCCTGCTCGAGAAATTGTAGATGAGGCACTGACCGGCATTTCAGAGAATGGACCGGAACCATCTTGCGTTTTGCGAAAAAGCAAGCCATGATGCGATACATCATGTGCAAGGCAAAAGGCAGCGCAAGAGAGTGCGAGAGATGCCGGAAGAGGACAGGCACCATTATTTTTTCCTCTATGCGGCACAGGAGAACTGCACGACGTGCGTGCAGGCGTGGCTTTCTCGAAATGCAGACCCGGGTAGAGGCACGTTAAACAATCCGGACTGGAATGCTTTATCCTTCGCAAAGGAGGTTGCTGGAGGCAGCATTTAAATTTAATTTCAGAATTTCGAGGTTCAGGTTTCGGGGATCAGGGCTATCGGAAGTGACAGCCCGGGCAGAACAGCATTTAAATTTCAGAATTTCGAGGTTCAGATTTCGGGGATCAGGGCTATCCGAAGCGACAGCCCAGGCAAAAGCGGATGCGACCTATGCTCTTCTCCGGCAGTACGAAGACAACGCAAGGTCGAGATCTCCCGTTGGTGGCAGTGCTTCTGTGCGACCCGTATTGGGAAACCAGAATGCCAGCGCGCGGCCCAGTGAGGATCTCGAAGCGGTTCCTTTCGCGGGCCTCTATGCGCAAGCCTCCATGATTCCCATGGGAATCTGGGCGACTCCGCCTCCTCCGCCCGCAGACGCTCCGCCGGATGCTGTGTTTGCCAGTGAGGCGCCTTCGGCTGTGCAAAGGTTCGAAGACTTCTTCGATGACCCCGATGGCGCAGCTTGTCAAGTGGCAGCTGCCGCTTTGAGTGGGGATCATGAAAAGCTAGAAGTCTTGCTCCGTGAGTTTCCGGCGCTCGGACAGCGGCCCAAGATAATGCTGTTAGACGGCGTGCCCGACATCATAACCTATTGGACATTGCGGGAGTATGTGATTTTGGCTCGATTGCGGGCCGATGATGCCGGCAATGCTGAGAGGAGCGAGGCGCTAGGCACCGTCGCGGCGATTTTGGATGCTGCGGAGGAACTTCAGGCAAGCGAGCTGGCCTCAGCCTGGCAGAAAAACAAGATGCAACGGACCGATGCATCTCTGTTCCAGGAGACCGTGAGAGGCAGAAGTTTTTGCGCTTTTCAAAATAGTGGCTCGAAGGCGCAGGCTGACCTCCAGAACGCGGCTCTGCACCGCGTGGACCTTCAGGAGATGGCGAGGTTGTTGCAGGACTCAGATGAAGATGTTGTGAACCCGCTCAAGACTCGAGCGGATCTTGGTCAAGCTGCCCATCCAGAGACTGCTCATTGGCCCTTGCGTACATGCGTTCTTGCACGCATAGCTATTGAGGAGCTGGAAGAGACGAAGCAGAAATTGAACAAGGCATTTGTGCAATTGCGCGACTGGGAAACGAGCCTCATCGAAGGTAGTCATGCGCACTTCTCACATGCGGATTTTGAAGATCGGTTCGGGTTGCGCCTGCTCTTGCAAGATCAACACTGAGGTTCCTGAAGTTATGTTTTCCTGCAAAAGCTGTGTGACCCGTATTGGGAAGCCAGCCGACGACATGCAAGCATGATGCGGCACAGGGGCTGGAATGACCGCGCCAACGACCTGTGTGACCCGTATTGGGAAGCCAGCCGACCATGATTTCTTGTGTCCACAAGCTCTGCAACCCGAACTGTGAAAATTCAGCATCTACGCTTGGATTGACGGCACAAGTGTTACAAAAAAAATGCGCTGGTGCCAGATGGTATCTTTTGGTTTCTTTGAGGTTTGCATGTATACCATTCATATATGCACGCCGAGGCAGCGCGGCGGGACAAGCGACTACTTCGAAGTGTGCAAGGTGTGTCGGCAGTGAAGGAGCGATCGAGAGAGAGAGAGAGAGAGAGAGAGAGAGAGAGAGAGAGAGAGAGAGAGAGAGAGAGAGAGAGAGAGAGAGAGAGAGAGAGAGAGAGAGAGAGAGAGAGAGAGAGAGAGAGAGAGAGAGAGAGAGAGAGAGAGAAAGAGAGAGAGAGAGAAAGAGATAGAAAGAGAGCGGGGGCTGCAGGTGCATGAATTCCTCTGCGAATCCTCGCATGCTTTTCGTCGGAGCTTGCTTCCGGACGCTTTTCGTCGGGTGCTCGGAAAGGATGGTTACCAAGAGTGCTTGTGTGTGTGAGACTTGCTGGACGCGCCGGGACAGAGTTCTACTTCCGAGTCTCTGCTCGAGAGCGTTTCGTAGCTTTGCTTGAAAAATTGTGATTAAAAAATAGGGGGAGGGTGGCGCAATGAACAAGTTGGCGTCTTTTTGCGAAGATGCTCAGAAGGATGAACTGCACCATGTTTCTGGCAAACAGCACCAGAATCTGCGCAAGCGCTTGCGCACGATGGCCGCCGAGAACAGACAGCACTATCTTTTCCTTTGGGCTGCTCACGCCAACTGCAAGACGTGCTCGAAGGCTTGGTTGTCTCGCGGGGCGGATCTGGACAGAGGCTCGGGCGGCACGGACGCTTGTGGGCAATGGAATGCTTTGCGCTGGGCAGAGGAGGCCGGAGCCGGGAATGTAAGGTTTCAGTGTTCAAGAGTCTTTTGGGATGAGGGTTGTCCGAAGTGCTAGCCGAGGCGCAGGCAGTCGACACGATCGCTCTCCTCCGGGAGGCGACTCGGGCGAGATCGGCTTCCGATGGCAGCACTTCTGCGCGACCCGGATTGGGAAACCAGAGTGGTGACGTGAAGACAAGTCAGCCCAGTGCACCGGTTCTTTTCGCCGGAGCCTTTATGCAAGCCGGCGTGCAACCAGGATCGGGAGGCCAGTGTGCTGGCGCGAAGTCCAGTCAGCCAGACGAAGCGGTTCCATTTGTGGCAGTCTGTGAGGAAGCCGATCAGCCTTCCTTTAAAGCAAGCCGTGTTTCTGAAACGTCGAATACTGAGAGCGAAGAGTCGTATTCCCCGGTTGTGATGAACTGCATCGAGGATTTCTTCCAGGCCTCCGATGGTTGCGCTGCTCAAGTGTTTGCAGCGGCTTTGAGTGGGAATCAAGAAAAGCTGCAAAACCTGCTTCGCCAATTTCCCGTGCTGCAAGCGCGACCGAGGGTGTGTTTGGCACATCTGCCCGAGGTAATGGAGTTTTGGACATTGAGAGAGTATGTGTTTTTGGCTCGACTGCGGGCGTACGATGCAGGTTGTGAAGAGAGAGTCGAGGCGTTGTCCGGTGTTTTGATCCTCTTGGACAAGGCGGAGAAAGAGGAGGCAGAAGCCCTGGCCGGCGTGTGGAGGCAGAAACGAATGAACGTTGCCGAGTCGCGGCTGTTCCAGCAGACCATTCAAGGCAGAGTTTTGGTTTCGTTCCAGCCTGGATGCTCGGCCTCTCAGTTGAAGGTTTTCAACGCCATCCTGCATCGCATCGCGCCTTCGCAGCTGCAAAACCTGTTGCAAGAAGAGCCCGAGGAGTCGACGCCGTTGAAAACTCGAGAGGATCTTGGTCTATGTTGTCATCCACGGTCTCGGCACTGGCCCTTGCGCACATACGTGCTTGCAAAGATTGCTCTGGAGCACATCGCAGAAAACATAGAGAATTTGCATGCGGCTCTAAAGATGTTGCGTACCTGGGAGACGGACCTTGTTGAGGCTGCGCATGCACACTTTCTCCAGAGCTCCGCAGCCGTCCACTCGTTGAAGATGCTATTTTGCAAGAATAAGGCTGACATCGCGAGGTCTCGGGCTGCAACACGCCGTGGGACCCGGATTGGGAAGCCGGTGTAAGTGCCAGCGTAGTCGACGGGCTGAAATTCTAGCACATGTGCGCCTAGAAGTTGTGTGACCCGTATTGGGAAGCCGGCTGTGGTGCTGAGATCGATCGCACGACGACGACAAACAACCCGCTGTGCGCCTGCAAGGCACTGCAGAATCGTGGCGTGTGTAGATCGCAAGCAGTAGCTGGGCCGAGACATCATCAACCGTGCTTTACCGTGGAAGTGTAGTGTGACTGCAGTGTTTCGTTTCTCGAAAGCAGAAGGAAGTAGCTTTTGGTTGTCTTCTCGTTCCCGAGCATGGCGACGGAACAGCAGTTCATTGGGCCCGTGGCCGCCGTCCATCTCGAGTATTATATAGCCGTGCTGCCGCAGGCATCAACGAAAGAGTGATCGGAGAGGGGTGGGCGGGGTGGGGGGGGGGGGGAGTGGGGAGTGGTGTTGCATGACTCGAGCCCGAGTCTCGTTTCGTATCCCTACAGGCAGCTGGCGGTGGTGGTGTGATTCCTCCCTGTTTCCAGCCGGGAACGACGTGGTACTATTCCCTCCGCGGAACGAAGCAATTGGCGAGAGAGCGTTACGGCTGGTGGGACGACGGTTCCATGCAGCTCGACGATTCCTAAGGGATCCACATTTTTTTTTTGATTTTTATCATTATTATTTTTTTATTTTTTTCTCTCTCTCTCTCTCTCTCTCTCTCTCTCTCTCTCTCTCTCTCTCTCTCTATCGCTTGATCCGCGTCTGCGGTTGGTTGGCAGGCCGGAGCCCGTGTATTTCCGCATGACTTTCACTCGCGAGGGGCACACGTTGTTTACGGCGGAGAAGTATCTGCAGTCGCATGCGTCCGAGGGACAGCAGTGGGCGCGACTCTACCACGTGCCCTTGCAGAAGGGTCGCGTCATGGACACCAATGGCAACGTGCTCTACACACTTGAGCGCGTCTGAGATTGAAGTGCTGTGTGACCCGTATTGGGAAGCCAGCCACTCTGATGGAAATCGGTTTCAGCCGAGAAGCTGAGCTGAAACCCTTGCACATACGAGCTGGGTGACCCGTATTGGGGAGCCGAGCAACTCACGCACTGTCAGCGCACAGCATGGCACTTTGAGAAAAATGGCTCACTGTGGTCCGCTCGTGCTTCGTGCAGTTTTGCGTTCAGGTCTCCATGTATTGTACATGTGCACTCGTCGCACGGTTTCCGAGGCTCTGCGAAAGTGTGTTGTGGTCAAATCGATCGTCCGCATGCGACCGGCGGCTTTTGCGTGGATGCAGGGGCCTTACAGACAGGCCTCTCATAAAGGGTCGTGCTGTCTAGTTGTGCTGACAGGCCATGCGCTTCCGTGATCCTGGACAAAATTGTGTTTCTGGTTTTCCTCGAGGCCGGGGCGGTCGGCCGGGAGAGGGCAGGGAAGGGGAGTCTTCGGAGGTTGTCTTTTTTCTTTCGTTCAGGTTGTTTCAGTTCTTGGGTCAGCGCAACTTCCTTCCTGCTACGTGTCCGCTGTCAAACAACTCAGGCTTATGGATGTCATAGATAAGACTTCGTTTGCGCTGGGTTCGATGCGGTTCTGCGGGTTTCCTTGCCGATTCCTTCGGGTTCGATCTTGTGATTTCGTGGTCTCCGGGTCCTAGTATTCTTCGGCTGGTCGGTTATGCGCTTCTGCTATTCCCGAGAGGTTTGTGTTTCTAGCTTTCGTCGAGGCCGGGGCAGTCGGCTTGGAGAGGGCGGGGGAGGGGGAGTCTTCAGAGGTTTCTTTCAGTCAGCTTGCTTTAGTTGCTTGGGTTCGTGTATAGCTTCCTTCCTTCTGCGTGCTCGCTGTCAAACCACTAGGACGGGGAGCTTTTCATGGTTCTCATAGACTTCGTGTGGCCGTGGTTCGACTTGGTTCTTTTCGGGCTTCCTTGCTGATTCCTGTGGAAGATTTCGTGAGCGCATAGGGTTGCTTCCGGGAGGGTGGTTGGGATGACATCTACAGGGAAATTGTTTGAATGCTCTCGTGATGAATGCTGCTGGGACGCTGCTGGCGACGACAGCACGCTGGAGAACTTCTCGAGGTCGCCGTCGAGCTCCGACCTGACCGGAAGGGCGCCAAGTGCACGCAGGGCGACTGGCGTTCTGGATGATATCGCGGCGTTCCAGAAGAGACATGCCGTGGAAGGATCTGGCGATGTCCGCACAACGTTCGAAGATCCTTTCCTGAGTTGCGAGAAAAGACGCGCAGGGAGGCCGACATCTTTTGCATCACGGGCTTCGGTGGCCTCTGCTGGACCGTGCTTTGGTAGTTCTAGCTTTAGAGTAGATAGAATAAATAGAAACAAGCAGGGAAGGGACACGAAGCGGTTTAGCCCGATCACCTTCGCCGTCCGCAGCATCCGGTGGCGCTCGGCTGTCAGCGAGGCAGGACCGTAATGGGTTTATGCCCTAACATAGATAGTCTCGGACCCCGAACCGAACAAATAGAAAACGGTCGCTTGGTGTATACCGCCGACTGGCGTTTTTGCGTCGGGATCGGCTTGAGGATCGTAGGACTGCAAAACATGTTAAGAAGCGATTGGGACGAACGTTGCACATCATCCGTCGGACTTCGGAGGATTAGAACTTCTGGGTTGACCGTCTCCCGGCATCCCGAAAGGTTCTTCCTGGAGGCGGTCTTCCACGGAAGCGCGCGATGTGCTCCTGTGGATCTGCAGAGGCCGTCCTTCAGTTCAGCTTTTCGAGCTTGCATTTTGCATGGAAGAGAGGTCTATAGTTCTTGCGCGGCTTCTGTTGGGTTTCGGATCTGATGAGGATAGGAGCGTGGGCTCGTGTGCGACGGACGATGTCGGACTTGCAGCCATGTGCGATGCAACGCGATGAGACCGCTTCGATCCAAGTGGAATATCGACCTGCGTCGCACTCGCGGCCGCATACACAGCTGGCACGGGCACTTCGGATGGATAACGCCCGAATGCTCCAACGATCATCCGCGAGCGCATGAGCATGAAGGCCGCGTTTACTTGGCTTCCGAAGATGAGCTTTCTGGAATCGGTGCCGACGTCTGCTTTTTCCTTTACGAACACGCTTTCGGTCTCGGGGCCATGAACGTACGACCCCGTCCAGGCCAAAGCTCTTCCTCAGAGGTTGCAGGAATAAAGACGTTCGGTGCCCTGCACCAGGAGAACCGTGACGATTCGGTTTGTCTTGCTGCACGTGAGCAAGTGTTCGAGCGAGTGCGATGTGCTTTACACAAATCGCTGGAGAGGCGCCCTGCCTGCGAGAGAAAAGAGGATAAGCAACAAATCAAGAGGCCCTCGTATTTGTGTCGACGCATTGTTGAACATTTACTTACGACGGCCGTGTCTCCGGAGCACAGAACCGGTGTCTGGGAGCAGGCGGTTCCGGAATATGTGGATTGTGCCATGACTGGCTTGAGCCGCGCTTTTAAAGATCATTTCTGGTTCTTTGAGACAGATTTGTCCGGGGCCATCTGTGTGGCTTTCCGTTCGCTATACGCGCATGACGGCTGGTGGCCCGATGTGGAGCTCTTGCTCGAACAGAAGTATGCGGAGTGGATGGCGGTTCTGACCGTGGACGACAAGGTGTGGACTTGCGTGACAGACCGTGTTTCTCGAGATGAGGGACAGCTTCGAAGTATGCTTTACAAAGCCATTCGCACGAGCTACGATACCGCGAGCAATGTCGCGCTGGATCCGAATGTCACGAAGACGGGATCGGAACGCGTGGAGCTTTTCGTCGAATTCTAGGTTGCTACGATGATGAGCAAGTGTTTGTCTTGGTGGGAAGACGCTCGAAGGCGGGCTGGGAGCGTCGTGCTGAGCGAGGCGGGTGTCTTCGAGCTTTTCCGGGATCTACTGCAGGATGGTCGTCTTCTTCCAGCGGCGTTGCTGGATCGCCATAATTTTCCGCCTAGAAATTGGGCTTTTCTCAAGGAGCTCGTGGAGATAGCTTTTGTCGCAAAGCACATGTCGTGTGGTCGCAAGAGACCTTGGGAGAGCTCCTGACTTCTTCATCGTTCAGGTTGCCTGCATGTTCAAAGTGCTGCGTGACCCGTATTGGGAAGCCAGCCACTTATGTGGAAATCAGACTTAACTCATCCAGAAGCTGAAATTCTTGCACCTGCGAGCTGCGCGACCCGTATTGGGAAGCCGGCCAGCGCATGCGCTGTCTGCGAGCAGCATGCCACTTTGAGAAAAGGCTCGCCGTGGTCCGCTCGTGCTCCGTGCCGTTTTTCGTTCGTGTCTGCATTTGGACTGTACACGTCCACTCGTTCCACGGTCTCCAAGACTTTGCGAAGTTGTGTCGGTCGAAACGACGCTCCGCACCTGACCGTTAGCTTCACTGTGGCTGCAGGGTGGCTCGACTGTACAGCTAGAATACAGCACGCTTGTGTGCGATCTGTTTTGTCGACCCGTAATCATGTCCAAGCACCGCCGCTTGCGACCGGCAGACTGCTGTGCTGAGTCCGAGCCGACTTCTCTGGCTGGAGATTGGTCACAAGCTTCGACCTCAGCGGAGGCGTCGTGGCCGGGCCCTTCGCTGTCCTTGCTGGTTCCTTGCATAGGAGGTGAGCCGCTGCAGAATGCGGGCTTGCTGCAGGAAACCTTGTACTGTCTATTGCAAAGGTCCCTTCTTCAGCCAAGCGAAGAAATTACAGATCTGGTTTTCAGGGCCTGCTTTCTTCTGAACAAGTTGAAAGTCAGCCTGGCATCGATGGAAGAGATTGCTCCTGTGCTCGCTCGTCCTGAAAGTTTGGGGCAGCCGCAAACGCTTCCCGCTCGAAATCCTCTTGGGGAAGCTCAAGAGGTCCTCGGCTATCTCGTTGCTCACCACGAGCAGATGATGCAATGAGCCAGTCTTGAGCCAATGCCAATTGGTAGGCATCGTAATGTCCGTAGCCAATATGAGCTGGAGAATGACCATGCAATCTAACATTCGGGTGGCTTGGGTTTGAAGGGGGCTTGAAGGGGGTTTTGAAGGGGGTCTTGAAGGGGGGCGTAAAGGCTGGGCGTTCTCCCGG